TGTTTCAACAGTAGAGTCTGTATCTACAGTAGTGTCTGTATCTACAGTAGTGTCTGTATCTACAGAAGTGTATGTATCTACAGTAGAGTCTGTATCTACAGTAGTGTCTGTATCTACAGTAGAATCTGTATCTACAGTAGTGTCTGTATCTACAGAAGTGTATGTATCTACAGTAGAGTCTGTATCTACAGTAGTGTCTGTATCTACAGTAGCGTCTGTATCTTCAGTATTGTATGTATCTACAGTAGAGTCTGTATCTACAGTAGTGTCTAAATCTACAGTAGTGTCTGTATCTACAGTAGTGCCTGTATTTACAGTAGAGTATGTATCTACAGTATTGTCTGTATCTACAGTAGTGTCTGTATCTACAGTAGTGTCTGTATCTACAGTAGTGTTTGTATCTACAGTAGTGTCTGTATCTACAGTAGTGTCTGTATCTACAATAGTGTCTAAATCTACAGTATAGTCTATATCTACAGTAGAGTCTGTATCTACAGTAGTGTATGTATCTACAGTAGTGTCTGTATATACAGTAGTGTATGTATCTACAGTAGTGTCTGTATTTACAATAGAGTATGTATCTACAGTATTGTCTGTATCTACAGTAGTGTCTGTATCTACATTAGTGTCTGTATCTACAGTAGAGTATTATCTTCAGTAGTGTCTGTATCAACAGTAGTGTATGTATCTACAGTAGTGTATGTATCTACAGTAGTGTCTGTATCTACAGTAGTGTCTGTATCTACAGTAGAGTATGTATCTAGAGTAGTGTATGTATCTACAGTAGTGTTTGTATCTACAGAAGTGTCTGTATCTACAGTCCAGTATGTATCTACAGTAGTGTATGTATCTACAATAGTGTCTGTATCTAAGTAAAGTATGTATCTACAGTAGTGTCTGTATCTACATTAGAGTATGTATCTACAGTAGAGTATGTATCTACAGTAGTGTCTGTATCTACAGTAGAGTCTGTATCTACAGAAGTGTCTGTATCTACAGTAGTGTCTGTATCTACAGTAGTGTCTGTATCTACAGCAGTGTCTGTATCTACAGAAGCGTCTGTATGTACAGTAGTGTATGTATCTACAGTAGTGTCTGTATCTAAGTAGAGTATGTATCTACAGTAGTGTCTGTATTTACAGTAGAGTATGTATCTACAGTAGTGTATGTATCTACAGTAGTGTCTGTATCTTCAGTAGCGTCTGTATCTACAGCAGTGTCTGTATTTACAGTAGTGTCTGTATCTACAGTAGAGTATGTATTTACAGTAGTGTCTGTATCTACAGTAGCGTCTGAACTACAGTAGTGTATGTATCTACAGTAGTGTCTGTACCTACATTAGAGTATGTATCTACAATAGCGTCTGTATCTACAGTAGTGTCTGTATCTACAGAAGTGTCTGTATCTACAGTAGTGTTTGTATCTACAGCAGTGTCTGTGTCTACAGTAGAGTATGTATCTACAGTAGTGTCTGTATCTACAGTAGAGTATGTATCTACAGTAGTTTCTGTATCTACAGATGTGTCTGTATCTAAAATAGAGAAAGTATCTACAGTTGTGTCTGTATATACAGTAGAGTATGTATCTTCAGTAGTGTATGTATCTACAGAAGATAATGTATCTACAGTAGTCTCTGTATCTACAGTAGTGTCTGTATCTACAGAAGTGTCTGTATCTACAGTAGTGTATGTATCTACAATAGTGTATGTATCTACAGTAGTGTCTGTATCTACAGTAGTGTCTGTATCTACAGTAGAGTATTTATCTACAGTAGTGTCTGTATCTATATTAGCGTCTGTATCTACAGTAGTGTATGTATCTAAAAAAGTTTCTGTATCTACAGTAGCGTCTGTATCTACAGTTGTGTCTTCATCTACAGTAGTGTCTGTATCTACAGTAGAGTATGTATCTACAGTAGTGTCTGTATCTACAGTAGTGTGTGTATCTACAGTAGTGTCTGTATCTACTGTAGAGTATGTATCTTCAGTAGTCTCTGTATATACAGTAGTGTCTGTATCTACAGTAGTGCCTGTATCTAAAATAGAGTAAGTATCTACAGTTGTGTCTGTATATACAGTAGTGTCTGTATCTACAGTAGTGTCTGTATCTAAAATAGAGTAAGTATCTACAGTTGTGTCTGTATATACAGTTGTGTCTGTATCTACAGTAGTGTCTGTATCTAAAATAGAGTAAGTATCTACAGTTGTGTCTGTATATACAGTAGAGTATGTATCTTCAGTAGCGTATGTATCTACAGAAAAGAATTTATCTACAGTAGTCACTGTATCTACAGTAGTGTCTGTATCTACAGAAGTGTCTGTATCTACAGTAGTGTATGTATCTACATTAGTGTATGTATCTACAGTAGTGTCTGTATCTACAGTAGTGTCTGTATCTACAGTAGAGTATGTATCTACAGTAGTGTCTGTATCTATATTAGCGTCTGTATCTACAGTAGTGTATGTATCTAAAAAGTTTCTGTATCTACAGTAGCGTCTGTATCTACAGTTGTGTCTGCATCTACAGTAGTGTCTGTATCTACAGTAGTGTCTGTATCTACTGTAGAGTATGTATCTTCAGTAGTATCTGTATATACAGTAGTGTCTGTATCTACAGTAGTGTCTGTATCTAAAATAGAGTAAGTATCTACAGTTATGTCTGTATACACAGTAGTGTATGTATCTACAGTAGTGTATGTATTTACAGTAGTGTCTGTATCTACAGTAGTGTATGTATCTACAGTAGTGTATGTATCTTCAGTAGTGTATGTATCTACAGAAGAGTATGCATCTACAGTAGTCTCTGTATATACAGTAGTGTCTAAATCTACAGAAGTGTCTGTATCTAAAATAGAGTAAGTATCTACAGTTGTGTCTGCATCTACAGTAGTGTCTGTATCTACAGTAGAGTATGTATCTACAGTAGTGTCTGTATCTACAGTAGTGTGTGTATCTACAGTAGTGTCTGTATCTAAAATAGAGTAAGTATCTTCAGTAGTCTCTGTATATACAGTTGTGTCTGTATCTACAGTAGTGTCTGTATCTAAAATAGTGTAAGTATCTACAGTTGTGTCTGTATATACAGTAGAGTATGTATCTTCAGTAGTGTATGTATCTACAGAAGAGAATGTATCTACAGTAGTCTCTGTATCTACAGTAGTGTCTGTATCTACAGAAGTGTCTGTATCTACAGTAGTGTATGTATCTACATTAGTGTATGTATCTACAGTAGTGTCTGTATCTACAGTAGTGTCTGTATCTACAGTAGAGTATGTATCTACAGTAGTGTCTGTATCTATATTAGCGTCTGTATCTACAGTAGTGTATGTATCTAAAAAAGTTTCTGTATCTACAGTAGCGTCTGTATCTACAGTTGTGTCTGCATCTACAGTAGTGTCTGTATCTACAGTAGAGTATGTATCTACAGTAGTGTCTGTATCTACAGTAGTGTCTGTATCTACTGTAGAGTATGTATCTTCAGTAGTCTCTGTATATACAGTAGTGTCTGTATCTACAGTAGTGTCTGTATTTAAAATAGAGTAAGTATCTACAGTTGTGTCTGTATATACAGTAGTGTATGTATCTACAGTAGTGTATGTATTTACAGTAGTGTCTGTATCTACAGTAGTGTATGTATCAACAGTAGTGTATGTATCTTCAGTAGTGTATGTATCTACAGAAGAGTATGCATCTACAGTAGTCTCTGTATATACAGTAGTGTCTGTATCTACAGTAGTGTCTGTATCTAAAATAGAGTAAGTATCTACAGTTGTGTCTGCATCTACAGTAGTGTCTGTATCTACAGTAGTGTATGTATCTACAGAAGAGTCTGTTTCAACAGTAGAGTCTGTATCTACAGTAGTCTCTGTATCTACAGTAGTGTCTGTATCTACAGTAGTGTCTGTATCTACAGTAGTGTATGTATCTACAGTAGTGTATGTATTTACAGTAGTGTCTGTATCTACAGTAGTATCTGTATCTACAGTAGTGTATGTATCTACAGTAGTGTATGTATCTACAGTAGAGTATGTATCTACAGTAGTGTCTGTATCTACAGTCGAGTATGTATCTACAGTAGAGTTTGTATCTACAGTAGTGTCTGTACCTACATTAGAGTATGTATCTACAGTAGAGTATGTATCTACAGTAGTGTCTGTATCTACAGTAGTGTATGTATCTACAGTAGTGTATGTATTTACAGTAGTGTCTGTATCTACAGTAGTGTCTGTATCTACAGTAGTGTATGTATCTACATTAGTGTATGTATCTACAGTAGAGTATGTATCTACAGTAGAGTATGTATCTACAGTAGTGTCTGTATCTACAGTCGAGTATGTATCTACAGTAGAGTTTGTATCTACAGTTGTGTCTGTACCTACATAAGCGTCTGTATCTGCAGTAGTGTCTGTATTTCAGTAGCATCTATATCTACAATGGGAGCTTGAAGTACTGTATTGTCTGTATATACTCTAGTGCCTGTATCTACAGTTGTGTTTGTTTCTCAGTTGCGCCTGTATCTCAAAAATGTCAGTTTTTACAGTAGTGTCATTATCCACAGTAGTGTCTGTATGCCAGGGGTGTTTGTTTCTTGGACGTATATGTATCTCAGTAGCGTATTCGCGCATCCCTGCATTGCCGCAGGTGAATATTTGCCTTAAATTATCAAGGGACATTTCTAATTGGCAGCAAAAGGGTATTTTACGGGGACTTTACCATCTAATTTTCCCCTTAGAGCGGGTCTTTAAACCAATATTATCAGCATATTAAGACTGATAAGATCGGCTTATTGGACTCAGCTTAAAAAATACTATTGAAATTTAATACTTTACGATGGTGATCTAAAATCAAAATCTAATAAAAATAATCAAGCGTATATTGATTGCATTGTTTAATGCGACATGTATGATTACATTTTGATATCATCCGTTATGTTAAACATGATTTTACTTTGAGTATGTACTTTTCGGCAGATTCCGTAATCGATTGGATTATTATTTTTTATGTTTTTGACATTGGTAGAATTAAAGTGCAATACACTATCAAATTGAAACACGCAGATCATGATTTCAAGTGTAAACCCGGAAGATAAATTTCGTTGTGTCAAGTGAGATATAAATATTTATATATCTACCGTGCAGACGAACAGTTTAACAATTAAGGGAAGTTGTGATATTTGATATCTGTGTATGGTAGAAAAAATTTCATTTTTTTTAAGTGATCACAGGTCAATAATGAATATACCGGAAGGGGAAAACGTCTGGTGAGTGGGTTTTTGTTTCATTGATTATTTTAAAAATTTAGTAATGCTATCAAATGTTACTAAATGTAACCCCGGTCTCCCCCTCCCCCACGGGCAATACGGGGGAATGGTAGTTGGGGAATCAACCGAATTTTCGTTGTCAATCAAATGCTTCACTGTCCAGTCAATGATTTTGTTTGGGGGTAACAAACATGCCGTTAATTGGATTCGATCACAAAATGCGTGTAGGTTTCATTCACCGACCATAATCTTAGCATAATCTTAATCAGAGTGAACGCTCCATGCTGGATTTGAACACAAGTTGGTGTTGGACCTCATAGACCTATAGAGGCAAATACTAAATATTAAATACATGTTACATAGAAGTAGAATAATGACAACAAATACCTATATTAGTTATGTTAGTTTTCACAAGATAGGGCAAAATAGTTTAAAGGCCAATTATGTTCAAGAAATGTTTTTTTCCTCTTAAGAACTTTACAAATTTGGTGTACTTTAATAGTTACCAAAATGTTACTTATCAAACATCTAAGGTGCTCGAAAACCAATATTTAAATGATGTAAAACTCATGCTTGTCCTTTTTTAAAGAAGTAATAATTTCTTTGTTTCTAGTTGAGGTCTCCACTGAGGCCCAGAGCCTCCTTCACGTCAGAGCTGTCTCCCAGAACAAATATTCTATAGTTTTTTATTTAACAAATGTTTTTATCTAATTTCAATCTTATTTCATTTCTAGACCTTATATCTACTTGAAACGTATTTGTCTTTAATAGATGAAAATTGGAGGAAAAATAATCTGTTTCATGACAACACTAAATTCGCGAATTGGGACACGCCGCCACAACTACCTTTCAAACACAATAAAAATATGTTATTATAACAACTTTACGTTTTCAGGAAACTTTAATGAAATCTACATGGTATAGCATTCCCTGAATTTTGATATTTGGTGTAGAGTTTACAAAATTTATAAAAAATGAAAACACTTGACACTAGATTTCAGCGACATGCACTAGCTCGGAAGTAGCGATAGAGCGATTTACCGTATACCTCCGAAAGAGGTAGCTCTATCATTTACCAGGCAGAGTCCTTTACTACATTTTTTTCGCTTTTACAGTATAAAGTATATATGCATATCTTATTTTATCCTCATTTATTTTTCATATTATATCAGCTGTGCTTCTGATCTTTTCGAGTATGACGAGACAAAGACGTTAAATCTACGAGAGTTTTTCCTGCATCACAAAGATAAGTTCCCAATGTTGATTGTTATTATAGGCGGTCACTACGGGGAGACAAAATTTGATTGTTACGATAATCTACAGGTAAAATATCCATTGTTTATAAAAGTTTATATTAAACCCACCCTAGCATATATATCAAAGTCCAATTGTGCCTTTTGTGCTTTTATTTTTATTTTTTCAAAAGCTTTTTTTAATTGTGGTGCACTTTTATTGTATTCCAAAAGTAACTCATTAGCCAATTACCTGATACATCTTTTTCATCTGTTTTTTTTTGGCAATAACTATAGTTATACACTATAAGTTTTTTGTATGAAAGTCAATATAATACTTTGTTTACATATTGCTACTTTTATGACAAATTATTTCACGTTTATCGCTACTTTCTTCAGGTAACAAGCATCTAATATTCTCTATAACCATTGTTTAATATGTATACCATTACTTGCTTTTTTAAAGAAGTAAAAATTCATTTGTTTTTCTAAGGCATAATGTGACTTTAAAATCACACTTGCATATATAAAGTATTTAACTTCTAATCTTTAATATTTGTATATTACTTACTAGAATCTTGTCGTCTGTAGTGTATACTTTCCATCGGGATTAGGAAGGTGCTTGAAACATTTTAATCCATCGCTGGATAGAAAACAACAACAACAACAAAAAAACCCAAAAAACTTTTCATTTTTAAAGGAATACTTAAAATCATCTTGTATGATAATAAAGTGTTTTAAGGAAATCAAGAATAAAACCTTCAATGTCATCCAATGAAAGTTCTGGACGGAAGTTACAGTTGTTATCAGAAAAAAATCCTCACAACAGATCGCCTCTTGTCATTCAGATCTAGTTAAGTAGATCTATGATTTAATAAGAGAAAAATAGTTCTATCATCATATAGAGCGGGCGGTTTTTAAATATTTAAAATAACGCAAATAAATGTCTCGGATTCTGATTGGGTTAATCACTTTGTGTATTTGACTCGCTTTGCCCATATGTTCGAGTCTCCAAAAGAGTGTTAGTCATTTAAGAGTTTGGATAATAGTGCAAGAAGATGTCCCAATTCCAGAAGCTTCTCCTGGTTCTTTAGCATGCCAAGTGTTTAAGCAATCATACATGTACACAGGACCTTGATTTAAAGTCTCATCCAAAAGACTGATTAGCAATTTTTGTTGGCCGGCCTGGGAATTGAAACCCCAACATCGAGATTACAAGTCTTATGCACTTTGTATAAACCGAAGCATGCACAATGTATTTCTACACCGTAGCCGGATAACTACGCGTGTGCGTTTTATTCTTTATGTCATTTTTCTTTACTTCAACAAAATAGTTAAACGTTACACCACATTTGATTTACTTTTATTTTGGTGTCACAACGGAATTCACAATCGTGTGAAACTTCACCTTCTGTATTTGAAATACTATATTTAAAATCATTATTGCTTCTTTTATACTTCAATCGTCATAAAGTAGGCCCTTGTTTGCCTAGAAATACAATCACCCTTTGTGTTCATGTTTTGACTTTTATATACATGTATATTCGCAGGTATTGCGTGTTCACTGTTATACATCTCAGCCACGTGTTGTAGCAGACGACGCTAGACTAAATCCCAGACACCAGAAAGGTTACATCACAATACCGGAAGATACCCTGATAAAATTCAGAGTCGTTAAGGGACACACAAAATGTAAATACTTACACACTTTTTAAAAAAAAACAAAAAAAAAACTTTTTACTTGCATTTAAGGATTAATTGGACTATGGTATTTTATTATTAAACAAATTAGAAATTTTTATTTCATGCTTTTCAGTGGATTACTGATTTATCCGTGAAAATTATATTTGATAATTTCACAGTGAAAATTATCAAAATATAATTTCACACTTTTCAATGACGAAACTACTTTTTTAAGATTTTCCCAATGTGGTACCTCAATTTTATTTTTGTTGACAATTCTGATGATGTCAGGCTGTTTAAAGAAAAAGCAAAGCTGAAATTGATAAATAACTTAAATGTCAAAAGTAATAAAAAGGAGAAAACTTACTTCTATTCATTCAAATTCCAATCACCAAATTTCGTCTCTTTTTTTTTGTTTCATTTTTACAGTCTGAAAAATACATTCCTTCCACATACAAAACTACTTTTGATGACATTTGGGCATATTAAAGTATCCTACGAGCAATAACTGCCGTATGCTTTATGAAAAATTGAAAAGCAATGACAGCCATCAGCTCGAAGAATAAGTAAACAACCCAGCGTTCCTGAGCCAGCTTCCAAGTTTTCCATTTTCCTAGCTGCTTTTTGAATGTTTCCACATCTGTCAACACTTATTTTTTGTCTGTTACAATCCTCAAATAAGTTTTCTTTCTTTTAAAAAGGTATATGACTAACAAATCCAAATGATATCTGTCTATATCAAACACAATTATTTCCTCCCGTGAAATACACAACTTTAAAAAATGGCTGCCGCTTACATTTAAAAAAGCCAGATCTAATATAAATTCGCAGTAAGTAACAGAAATATGGATGGATGGTTGGACTTTTTCTCCTACAAGAATTGTTTGTTTTTATTATTAAAACAAGAAATCATTCATATTTTTTTAATAAATGAATTTAACGTTGATTGCCGAATTTTCAGCTCAAGACTTCTTGTATGTATTGAGAAATTCCGAATGGAGAAAACAAATTTTACTATTAACGTTAATATTATGGAAATTTCGTTTAACTTGCTTTTAAGCATAAAATAAAAAGAAAATGTGTTTGTTTGTTGTGTAAGATGTTATTTTGTTTCATCTTGTGAACTTTAAAAACAGTATTCTCACTCGTGGCTACGCCACTCGTGAGAATACTGTTTTAAAAGCCCACTCGATGAAATAAAATTTCATCTTACACACAAACAAACAAATATCCTCTATGTTATGAAAACATATTAGCAATAGTACAAACACGCGCTATGTACAGTTTTTTTCTTTGGCTGGGCGAAAAGGAAATTTTTTTAGTTTTCGTACTCTCGTCTTTTCGACCCGTCACAACAAAACTGTTCATGGCGAGAATACGCCATCATATTAACGAGCTTTAACATCAACAACTTATCATAACAGTTTAATCCGGGCTTTATAAAATGATATACATGATAAGCACTTTCAATGAAATTATGCAGTATTTCGTGATGAAAATAAAGGTGAATGTTACACGGAAGATGAAGCCTTTTCGGGTATTTCCATCAGAGGGTCTTATCAGAGAGCTACATCAATTCAAAAGGATCATTTAAAAAAAACTTACATTAGTCACTCTAGACAGGTATTGAAATTTGCAATATTTGAGGGAAATTTCTAAATTGAAATAGTTTAACCCAGATATTACTTTACACGGTTGATGAATCGTGGAATGTAAAAAATAACAGCTGAAAAACAATTCAGTTTTTTATAACTATGTTATTTAAGAATTTTTTTCCATAATAAGAGCTTTAAAATGAAAACAAAATTGAAAGGACGCAAAGACGATTTATTTATGGGCCTAACACTGTCTGATTAACACATAAATAGTTTGAATTTTCGACTCTATGTACTTCAACTTAAGCGTGCATAGCTGTAACAACACCAACTAAATGGGCCTCAATTTAAAATTTTATTCGAAACACTACAAGTTAATAAAGAATGAATAAATTCTGTGCTAATGCCGTTATCAATTAAATGCGAAGTTTAACCTAGTGTTTGGGATTATTCTCAACCGGGGTATAGCGAGTTTGAGCCCTTCTGAGAACGTTTATTTTCATGACATCAGAATAGATTTGTTAAAGAAACAGACACGGTACAAATAAACTCCAAGGTGTACTTCGATGACTCATAGGAATTTAAACGTAGTACGTAGTTTAATATAAAACTGTGTTATTTATACTACCCGCTTAAATAAAAGATTAAGAGTAGACTGTAATGTTAGCAATGTAGTTACCACTACAATAGAATTAATTATTCTCTCTAACAAGAGCTGTCGGTAGGACAGCACGCTCGACTATTCTAAGTGCTTGATAGTAAAAGAGCCTTGATAATGTTAAATTTTTTAAGTTCACAAAAGGGCTATTTTTTTTTTAGAAATTCATGTTATAGGCCTTAGGGAGAGTCTAATTATACAGTATTGGCTTGACTATTCGGAAGGTAATGTCACAAGGGTGTTTTATTGAGTATAATAATACTAATTACCTATGAATACATAAATTTGACAGACAAGGTACAAAGGCTTGTTATTAAGATGTTTTATCAAGTAAATCACTGCTTTATTATTATGAATGCATAAAATTGTCCCAAAAAAGGCACAAACCCTTCAGTAGTTATTGAGATAACAGCTTACAAACAAAACTTTACCATGAATTTCTAAGTTGAAAAAGAGGAGAAAAATCAGCCTAAATGCAAGATAGAATTATGGATCTTTGTCAGTGACCTACAATTATGACCCTAAATGCATATGTGAAGTTTTAAATAAATATCTTTAATAAGTATTGGGATATGTAAAACTTGCATGTAAACATTAACCAAGAGACTAAGTAGAAAAGGGGATATGAATCAGCCTTAATGCAAGATAGAGTTATGGAACTTGGTCAGTGACATACAATTATGACCCTCCAATTATGACCCTAAGTGCATGTGTAAAGTTTCAAGTAAATATCTTTGAAGACCTTCAACCTTTAACCAAAATTACTAAGTTTCAAAAGGGCAAATAATTCTGCAAATATTGCAGGCAGAGTTATGCAATTTTGCAAACTGATGTACATTGTTACTACAAAAAGTCTTTTAAATTTCAATTGAATATCTCAAGCAATAATTGAGATATTTGACTTTACAAAAAAACTTTAACCAAAATTTCTAAGTTCCAAAGGGGCATAATTCTGTCAATTTTGTAGGCAGAGTTATCCAACTTGTCAATCTGATGTACCTTGTTACTATAAATAAGTATTGTAAGTTTAAATTGAATATCTCAAGCAATAATTGAGATATTTGACTTTACAAAAAACTTTAACCAAAATTTCTAAGTTAAAAAGGGGCATAATTCTGTCAATATTGTAAGCAGAGTTATCTAACTTGTCAATCTGATGTACCTTGTTACTATAAATAAGTATTGTAAGTTTCAATTGAATATCTCAAGCAATAATTGAGATATTTGACTTTACAAAAAACTTTAACCAAAATTTCTAAGTTAAAAAGGGACATAATTCTGTCAATATTGTAGGCAGAGTTATCTAACTTGTCAATCTGATGTACCTTGTTACTATAAATAAGTATTGTAAGTTTCAATTGAATATTTCAAGCAATAATTGAGATATTTGACTTTACAAAAAACTTTAACCAACGCAGACGCCGACGCGGACGCTGACGCCGACGGCGACGCCGGGGCGACTACAATAGCTCTCATATTCTTCGAATAGTCGAGCTAATAAAACGTTTACTTCCGATAGAAAAAAAGAAGGTTATTCTATATTTTACACGAAAAGTACCCGTGTCAATCATCGATATATTTTTTTAAAATGTCAGTATTGTAATATATGGAAGTATGTATGACTAAGTTATCAATGTTGAAAATAGGCGGTAAAAGTTAAGTTATTCATCTTAATTTCGTTATTTAGGAAAAAGATATTCTAGTGCCTTATTAACGTCTTTGTTAAAACAACCTGCATTTAGAAGCCTAGTCAGGTGTGCACGGACATAAATGATAAATTACTATAAACTCCTGAAAAAATGTCCACCGAGGGCTCTCGTACTTATGTTTACAAATCTTTTAATTCAAATTTCTCATGCCATGTCTTAAATCGAAACATAATGATAAAGTAAATAAGAATGTTTAACAAAATGGTGAAAAAAATAAAGGAAGATTAAATCAAGTCATGTGTGATGAACGCAACTATGGTTACATCAAGTTATCTGCTGTACAGCTGATAAACTATTTTTTATTGATACAAGTTGACTAATCGGAAAAACCCTTTGATACTAAACTGTATCAACATTTTGAGGCTCTAAATATTATATTTTTACTTTTATTTGTACGCTTGATACTTCCATTATTAATATTCTAGCAACTAGAACATTACTGTTAAGATTTCAAGTCTTGTATAAAAGACTGAATCATACAGTGGCATAGTGGGGGGGGGGGGGAAGGGGGGCATAAGAAATATTTTATCTACCACGTGCGCATGCGATAGCTACCACGCACTCACATACAAGATATTACGTGCGCGCGCGATAGCCCCTACGTTGGTCAATCATTGCGTGTGCACGTAATAGCTTGCACGTGCGCATGTGGTAGCTATCGGTAGCTATCGCGCACTCATGTAATAGTTAAAATATTTCTGATGGCCCCTTTATGCCACCGTAGAATCATGCCAAGTATTGCTGTGCTCAACTCACACGGTAAATTTACCACGAGAAATTCTATTTTTTATGTCAACATACTTTATAAATTTTAATAGCACGCTTTTGCATCTACCGAATATTTAAACATATAAGTTAGATATAAGTCTTATGACATAATATCATAACAAAATACTAAACAAGCCACAAGAGCAACAACACAAATCAAAATGCATCCACTAACAAAACCTCAATTACGTTTTATCTAGTGGGAAATCCGCAGCCACTGTCGGAACTACTGGAAGAAAACAACCAACTTCCGATTCTGGTACAGATGGCATGCGACTCCCGGTACCCTGTCAGGATCGGCACTACTAAATACCATGCTAACGATTTGGGTAACATTATGATTAAAGAAAAATACGAGGAACATTTCTTTCTGATGAATGCCATAGATACAATCGGTACGTTTGTTGCCATTGTTACAGAGTTTTTTTTATATATAGAATGATGCATATGTATATTTATATAATATATTATATCAGTTTTTTACTGTCATCTATGTAACAGTACAAAAGTTTTAGTCATATGGTACATTTTGAATTAGCAGTAAGCATATTTCACATTGGAGGTAAATAATTAGAAATGCTATGACAATATTTTCAGTAGCTAATAACTCAGGTATATTTTGAAACCAGAGTAATACTGCACCTGAAATTGAAGCATACAACTAGATTTAAATATTCATTATTATAATAAACAAACATAGATATGGATAGTTCCCGAGGTTTACAATATTTACCTCCCTTGCTAAAAATGGCACTGCCATATTGGGGGTCAATATTCTATATATTATAGTTGACAAAATCTGAAAACATCCATAAACAGCTGATTTTATGTGAAATGTCAAATTCTTTTATACATATGCAGCAATGTATTATTATAGCACAATGCGTAAAAGAAAGATTTTTTTTATCAATTTTCATTAAAATGATTTAGTTATGAAAGATTTTTATCTCATCTTAAGCATATGACCATGCATCGTCGGATACCCACGATTGATAAACATGTTACATTACATGTTAATGGTTCGGCCGTGGGTATCCGACGATGATGACCATGTATTGGGAATGACCCCCAAAATGGCTGTCAGTAGAGATAATAATTGCTATGTGAAATGACTCTATTATTTTACCCACAGACGAGGAACAATTTACCATTAGTCATGACAAAACTGGAACTATCTATTGAAATTTAAAGCAGCATGCCTCCAGATGCATACTAATTTTCATGAAAAAAAAAGAGAAAAAAAAGAGAGAAAAAAAAAGATGCATACAAATTTTCATGAAAAGAAATGAAAATGTATTTAAAAGTAAAAGTGAAAGTTTGTGTAGTGAACAAAGTAATGTACACATGTCACGGAAAAATGATGCCTCGCACCAGGTACGAAGTGGCGACTCCTGTATTACAAATCCAGTAATGCGGAGCTGGCAAATCGCAAATAAATTTCAACATGTTCACGATCTTTACTAATTGAATGGTTATTTTTTCAGAGCTAGATATGAACAAGTTAACATGTATGGCATGCTTATCTGAAGACCTAGATGCTACGCCCATTACGGGATTCAAATACGGGTCAAAGGAGGAATTTGACAAATTTTGCCGGAAACTGTCGAAGGATGTGGCGGAAAGTGGCGAGTCATATGATACTCGCCAAGGCAATAACGGTAACAATTTATATATAATAGCAGTTTCTATCAAAAATCACTTATTACTTAATATGTTGTGTTTAACTTTTTAAATATTTTGTATTAAATCGCAAAGAAGGGTGTTCTCTCAGCAAAAATTACGCGAATAAGCAGAAACGAGGATGCCTATTAACCTCACGAAGAAACATATTGCAAACAATTTTGCTTTAATATAAAAATATTCTTGTAACACAATTAAAATAGACAATAAAATTTTCATACTTAATAATTTTAGTACGGTGTCTCGTTAGGGCCATCGTGGCACACATAACTCGAGATAATGAAATCACAAAATTACGACAGTGAAAAGTCTAAATAACGAAATCCGCGATGGTGAAAACGCGAAAGTACGATAATGGCAAATGCAAAGTCAAACGTACGAGTGTGAAAAGTCAAAATAACAAAACAACGATAATGAAAACTCGACATTATTTTGTGTTCTCGCCATTGTACTTTCGACCTTTCACCATCTTAAGTCTCGTTGTTTCGTTTTTTTTTGTATTTTCACCATCGCACTTTGGACTATGCATCATCGTATTTTCAACTTTTTACCATCGTGGTTTCGTTATGTTGACTTTTCACCAATTTACTTTCGACTATTCATCATCGTATTTTCAACTTTTCACCTTCGAGTTTCGAAAGTTCTTTGATGAAGAGTAGAAACTGCGAGGATGAAAAGTCAAAAGTACAATGGTGAAAAATCGAAAGTACAATGGTGAAAAGTCGAAAGTACAATGGTGAAAAGTCGAAAGTACAATGGTGAAAAGTGACTTTCAACCATCGCAATTTCGTGTTTTCGTTGTTTCGAGTTATGTGTGTGTTGCGATTGCCCTATCGGGTAATCATACACTAGGGACTTGCCAAAATAAATATTTGTTTCAGCCCTACCATGTGATGGTCTGAAAATCACGTTCAATTGTATACGTCACACAAAAAGTTTTTATGGTAATTCCCATTTATAACACCGGACCCCCATTTATTACGGTCGATTTCCTTTTATCACCATCCAAATGTATTACATGTATCAGAATTGTATTTGTAGATTTTGGAGAACATTCTTTTGATGAAATGCGAAGACTGTTAGAGATATCTAACTGCGCAACTGGTTTATTGAGCGAGGATCAAGGTAAAGGTCATTACATATGTGTTCTATAAATAGTAACAAAATTTCATTTAATGTTCATTGATTATGATGCCATGCGATCCATATTGGCACATGTATAGTGATGCAATGTAAGTTTTAGGAATTCCATACATTTGTACTGATTATAAATATGGACCACCTGTTAAGTAGTAACAGTAGCAGGACCACGTGATAACCATAGCAAATCAGATTACAAAAAGTATGTATAGTTATTATCCTCATTATATATTCAATTTTTTTTCAAATAAAATGAATTCATTATTTAGAGGCAGAAAGTTTTGGTTTTGAGGATGACTATTACGAAGAAATGCCACCTATTGTTCCGTCAAGAGTTCCTGTTCAACCTCAAATAACGATAGAAGCAGGCCAGCCAAACATAGATAAAGCGAAAACAGAAAACACTAAACCAGCTCATAAAAACAAACCGCCTGCACGTTCTTCCCCGAAAGTTCAACGAAAAGATAAAAATACAAAATCTCCCTTTGGATTTTTCAAACGGAAACATCATAATGTTAAAGAAAATGAAGATCCATCGGCAAATGAACCTGAATTGCCAATAGAAAACACCGACACAAATGAAACTCTTAACTCAAACATCGGTCAGTTACCATCACCACCGAAAGTTCCACCACACGTTAAAAAGATTGCTGTAACTGAAAGTGACACGTATTCGTATGCAGATATAAAAGCTGGTTATGTTACGTTAGAAGCTGCTAATAGATCATACCAGAACACAAAAATAGGCAGAGCGACTGTGAAACCAATGCCGGTTGTAAGTAAAGTTGATGAGGATTCCAATTATAAAGGGATGGAAATAAAAAACAGAACCGGAGTACAATCCAATATAGATCGGTAAGTAATCTTATTGAATATCTTTATTTCTTTTTATTTTACGAATATTTACCAAAAGGTATGAAAGACATGCTTAAATATTATTTTATATGTTTCTTTCTCTATGGATTAATGCAAAGCAAGAACAAAGTGTTTGCCACTTTGCTACATCTATCTTTTGTTAACAATAAGACAGTATATTTTAATAAGTAACAGTGACACAAATTGTATTTAAGTTGACACAACAATTCAGATGGAATTGTACACTTATATAAATGCTAATTCTAAAATTTTAGACCTGAAGATGATCAAAACACGGATAATGTTTACACAGAGATGGCAGTAGAAAACGATCAACTCACAGAACAGTCCGAAGAACCGTCAGAAGAGTATGGGAGTATTGGATTTACACAAAGTTACAACAAAGGATACACGAAGCTGTCTCAAGCACCGGTTTCACCACAAACGCCGTCAGAACAAGAACATAAAGTCTTCAGTGACATAGAGAAACAAAGACCTGAGAATGTTAAGGATGATGAAGATTTGATAAGCGTCAAGGCTATGTCTATAAATGAAATTGGTGAACATCTAAAATCCTTGAAACTTGAACAATATACTGAAGTCTTTAAAGAAAATCAAATAGATGGCTTAATACTAGCTAATCTTAGTGTTGAAGATTTACAGAACGAACTTGGTCTCCGGAAAATAGAAGCCATCCGATTAAATAAGTTTGTTACAGCAGGCCATATTCCTAGATAAACACTGACGATTCAAATCCGTTTTAATTAAGTTGTAATCAATAATGTTAACCAAGGTTATTTATCATCATTACATGTGATATATGCAATAGAAAGAGCATCGAAACACGAGGCTATCTGATTTGTACGAGGGGGCGTAGCCCTCGAGTATAAATCAGATTGCCGGGTGTTTTGATGTCTTTTCTCTTTTGTATCATAGCCAAACATAAAAACGCGTTCCCTGATACCACAATATGAAACCCCACAAAAAAGTAACCAATGAACGAGCATCTGAATATGATATTTCCATCGCTATCCGTTTCTCTGTCGTCACAATATGTAAACCCCGGACAAAATGAACCAATCAATAGTGCGTGTAACTAATAGTCCTGCTGCACTCCAGTTAACGCACTGTGCATGTATATGTATACGATTTTACTCTGTCACATTTTCAACAGAAAGGTCCCCAAACTATGATACAAAAGGGATGTGTACCACGTGTTCCGATGACTGTTGTAACAAAGTTTTTGCTACTTCTCAACTGAAGCAGATTTTACAGTAATTTAATGAATCGAGTTCTTTTAAATCGGTTCAGTTTGTGAACATATTGTCACATGTTTTTGAACTGTCATAGTTTTGAAGAGTCGTCAGATACTTTTATGAGCACTAGTATTGACATGATTGTATGCTTAAAGATCCTGTAACACAATTTCTTTTTATGGTTTAATATCATAAATATGACGCTCAAATTAAGATTTATCATCAATTTGTAAGTTCCAAAAAGCATTATTTATAAAGATGTTACCGAATTTAACATTTCATGTAAATAAAGGGAGGTAATAAAAAATATTTTCTATAAAGTCTAAATCAAATTTTTCAATAAAAAATGAATGCATAAATATATTTTAATGATTACATATGAAAATGTACAAATATTTGCAGTATATATTTTACATATTCTTTTATGCTTGAAAATTGTTTTATAAGCATAATTATATACATGTACATATATATAAAATTTCAAATTAGTGTGGTATACAACCTCATTGGGGTCCGTACTCGACAGCGCAAGCTGCATTTTGTGCCCTCGCGGGCGGATGGACCCTCATTAAGCTTAAACTAGAAGTAGAAGTATACAACCTCAAATACAACATATTTTAACCTTATTTATCTTTTTTGCGAAACCCTATAAAATTGTTAAACTACGTGCATTTGGTTATCGCGGAAGGGGGATAGTGGGGGTTAATGGGAAATGGGGTTGGGTAAAGTGGAAGGGGTTGGGCAGTGGTTAAGTTGTAGGACTTGCCCTTTGGGAGTGAAATGACTCCAGTAATATCAAGGTCAGTGTTTATTCACCAGATTAAGGCATTTGTAAATATGTAGTTTAGGGGGTGGGGTAAAAGTTGAGGTATATTTTGCGATTTCATAATGGGATTGAAACATGTGCACTGTTAGTCATTTGGCAATTGCCTTAAACTGTAAAATGCTAGAACGTGCCCTTTGTATGAAGCAAGAACTGAAATCTTCCATTCCTTTTTTCATGTTTTCCATAATTTTCTTTGTTTAAGCAATATTTATTTTAGATTATTATCATCACGCTAGCAATTCATACGTCGGCATAGCAAATATGTAATCATGCTTGTTAATCATTTCACTTATCATTTTTTTCACTATTCTTTTACTTTGATTTTGGATGCAATACCATAACTTTGAATTACTTTTCATAAACGCATTTCCTACACATTGTCCAAACATACGAAACATGTATAACTTTTCCCAAAATTTATGGGCATTAATCTTAGCCTCACTGAAAGTGATAAGCTTTTGCAATCAGTATTGAGCTAGGCCAGTCTGCATATCCATATCTGCCCGTTGCTGTGCAATACTGATCAGTTTATGTATTTACCCACGCATTCGCAATGTGCGTGGGACAGAAAGACACCACATTGCACAGGAAAGAAGTAGGCGTGCTGACTAACTTTAAATTATCAGCTTGATATCACAAAAATAAAACAACGTAGACAATTCCAAAAATGGTAACTGGGCAAGACCATTAAAGAATTCAGCAGGTTACATATGAATTATTTCATACATGTATTTCACTTTTCTCTTAAATATTGAGAGCATTATATATATTTTATAATGAATTTTACATACAGACAACTCTTACAAAGATCAGAGAACGAAATCACTGTACCATTTACAGCACGCCTATAGACATTTTTACACTACGATATTTCCTTAGAAACGGAAGAAACATTGCGCGCATGCGTATTATGCGTTGCGCAAAAAGGATAAAGGGAAAATACTATTTAACAACGTCATAGACAACTTGATCTAATCTAAATTATCAACGTTTAGTTAACAATAATTTATTTTGATAGATAATTATGCATAGGTAAATATAATTCATTATGTATGTTTAGTTTCTTTGTAATAAAAATCACATTTTACTTCTGGCCACTGTATCATATATTGCAAGTCTATACAAGTCATGTTTCTTCGATCACAGGAAGTTAATGTGTTTCATCATTGTAACTTTAGAAAAAAAGACAATACTTTGTGTCAAAGTTATGTTTATCATTTATCTCATATTTCACTTTTATATTAATTGAGGATATTTTATTCAAATAAAAACTCATTGTAAATGTTAGAGCATAATCAAGATTGTCATCTGCTTTTCATTGTTATATTATTACAAAATTAAATCGATTTATTTCTATTCTCTGAAATAATTCTCTGAATAAAATATGAAATATTGTAGACTGTTTTTGTAAATGACATAAACGACTAATAAAACTCACGATATCTTTTATACGTGAATTATAATCATTATTGTCTAAAAGAGAGTAAACCGTTCGTAATGCTAATGAATGTCAGAAATACGTCATGATTGTTTACCTCTATTTTTTTATTTTCCTTCTGTTTTTGAAGTATTTCAGAAAAAAAAAAACAAGAAGAAGAAGAACAACAAAAACCCAGTTACAGTTGTTTTTATGTTTAACAATGATTGCTGGAAGCGAGATCCAAGTTACAAAACCATTCGTGCACACAATGACTCCACATTCCCTGTGACCTTGTTGGTTAATTTTATATCATCGCAGTACTAACCAAGGCCTTTCATTAACAAAGAAATGAAAGGAACAGAAAGATAGTTTGATTTTAATCTGCATGTAAACGTGACAGTTTTTGAAGTAAACAGATACGTGTTTAACACTGTCGTATTTTTTAATTTCTAATGTATAGGGTGATTTTTAGTGCGGTCTTATTGTTATGTAAAATGGCCTCATTTTTCAACGTTTATTTAGAATAAATAAAAAAAGTGATTGAATCTTTGTTAGGGTTTATCTTTATTCTAAGCTTTCATTTCAATAGGGGGGATGGAGTTCGTGGTTTAAGTTTAAGCGATACTACATGGTCATATGGCGAATTTTCAGCTTACAGGTTAAGGAAGACCTCAGCTGCCGCTACGTGCATTATTTCAGGCACGAGCGGGCTCCTAAATATAGAACCACTGATAGCTTTCTCATATAAAATAATTTAAAGTCCTTAAAAGGATTCAAACCAAAATCGCCTGGAGAAAAGTGGTTTGAATCCAACAACGTAAACAACTCGGCCAGGAGCCCGCCTGTCATTTGTTTTCTCTACAGTAAAAATATATATCAGCACGCCTTTTCTTTTTTTTGTATTATTAATATAAATACAAGTAGGGAAATTTTAACCATTATAAGCATATATAAATACTTAACTGCTTCCTTTTACACGGTATTCTTTAAAGGCCCAAGATTTTGATTTTATTAGCAGAGTTCATGTTCTAAATACATGTAGTTATTTTACATTTAAAGGCCCATAATGACCAAAAAATGATCTATTTTTTTATTTTTCAAATTAAAGCTTTTTATTTTGGGCGTATATTTACTTTATAGTTTCCAAAGAGATCTCATCGGCCAATTACCTGAACCGTCTTTATCTTCTGCTATCTTTTTGGCCATTTAATACAGTTATAGTGATTTAGTTTTTTTTGTATGGAAGACAAAATACTACATTTGTACTTTGTTTACATTTACTTTTTTATCACAAATTATTTCACATTAAGCGCTGCTTTTTTCAGGTTACAAGCCTTCACCATTATTTATACTTCCTTAAACTCAGCTATGCCCTTTCAAAAGAAGTAAAAATGTATTCGTTTTATGGGACATAATGTGCCTTTAAGAGTGCATTATTCAATTCTTTTGTTACAGGAAGAGAAATTAAAACAAAATCTCAGTCACTTTAATTACAGTGGTTAGAATAATTATGGTATATCAAAAGTACAATTTCCGTGCTTATATTCAATCCGGAAGCTATGATCTCATTCATGTGATAAGGAACGATATTTTTTTTATTTATTTTATTTTTTACATCCATCTCATTTTCACGTGACTGACATTTAACCTCCATGACAATTCAGAAGGACAATTCAGAACTAGGAAGTTTAGAAGATTTATTTTGGTTATTGATTGACGAAAACAGAAATAAAAATTTAATTTATCTTGTAAAGTTATTTTCTATAGCTTTGACCTTCAACGCTTGTGATGTGAATTTCAAAGTTGGCATCTATCATTTCAATTCATTTTTGAATGAAAATCAATGAGTCGTTTAGCACGTGAAATAATGACTTCTCATTTATCTAAATTAAGGGGAAAGAACTGTTACACGAATCAGTGAAGTATAGGAAATGTTACCCGAATTAGTTATTCAAAATCACTGTGTAGAAACTGTTATATAAAAGGAATTAGTAAATTGATATCAAAGTTAGGAGCTGTTACATCTGCCTTAGGGCAGAACTAATCAAAATCACCATGTAGAAATTGTTACAAAAATTAGTTGACAAAATATACAAGGGGAAAACTGTTACACGAATAAGTTAATAAATAATAATAATAATAATAATAACAAGAGCCATGTCAACATGGCCATCCCCCGCCGAATGTGTTTGCTCATTGGAAGAAATGTAAATGTAGTAGAGCAGAATAATTCCATTTTAAGAGGTCTTTTGGTAATGCAAACTGATGGCTATAGTGATTACAGATTTGAAACCTATGTGAATACTGATGGCTGAAAATAACAAAGAGCAATAACGGAAAAATAATGCAGGGTAGGTTATCATTCTTGTGTGCTGCATCCCTCCTCAGTAAAATATATCCACCTATGAAGTTTCAAGTTGATACCTCAAATACTTTTTGAGAAAAAAATTGAATTGAAAAATTAAGTATGAAAAATAACAAAGGAAAATAACTCAAAAATTATAAAAGGTAGAGTTATCATTCTTGTGCACTGCACACCTCCTGAGTTAGATCTATGCACCTATGAATTTTCATAATGATATCTCAAAGGCCTTTTGAGTTATGCTCTGGACAAAAATTAATTTTGAAAAATAAAAAAGGGCAATAACTAAACAATTATGCAGGGTAGAGTTATTGTTCTTGTGCACTGCACTCCTCCTCAATGAGATCCATCCACCTATGAAGTTTCAAGTTGATACCTCAAATACTTTTTGAGATAAGCTCCGGACAAAATAGTATGAAAAAGAACAAGGGCAATAACTCAAAAATCGTACAGGGAAGAGTTATCATTCTTGTGCACAGCATTCCTCCTCAATAAAATCTATCCACCTATGACATTTCATGTTGACATCTCAAACACTTTTGAGTTATGCTCCACTCAGGTGTAAAATTAAGTATGAAAAATAACAAAGGGCAATTACTCAAAAATTATGAAAGGTAGAGTTATCATTCTTGTGTACTGCACACCTCCTGAGTGAGATCTATGCACCTATGAAGTTTCATAATGATATCTCAAAGGCCTTTTGAGTTATGCTCTGGACAAAAAATTAATTTTGAAAAATAACAAAGGGCAATAACTCAAAAATTATGCAGGGTAGAGTTATCATTCTTGTGCACTGCACTCCTCCTTAATGAGATCCATCCACCTATGAAGTTTCAAGTTGATACCTCAAATACTTTTTGAGATAAGCTCTGGACAAATTAGCATGAACAAGAACAAAGGGCAATAACTCAAAAATTGTATAGGGAAGAGTTATAATTCTTGCGCACAACATTCCTCCTCAATAAGATCTATTCACCTATGACATTTCATGTTGATATCTCAAACACTTTTTGAGTTATGCTCCACTCAGGTGAAAAATTAAGTATGAAAAATAACAAAGGGTAATAACTAAAAAATTATGAAAGGTAGAGTTATCATTCTTGTGCACTGCACACCTCCTGAGTGAGATCTATGCACCTATGAAGTTTCATGTTGATATCTCATAGGCTTTTGGAGTTATGCTCTGGACAAAAATCAATTTTGAAAAATAGCAAAGGGCAATAACTCAAAAATTATGCAGGGTAGAGTTATCATTCTTGTGCACTGCACTCCTCCTCAATAAGGTCTATCTACCTATGAAGTTTCAAGTTGATAACTCAAATACTTTTAGAGATATGCTCCGGACAAAAATGTCGGACGGAAGGACGGACGGAAGATCGGACGGAAGGACGGACGGACGGAGACTATTACTATACCCCCGCCGCCTTTTCGGCGGGGGATAATTATAATAATAATATTAATAAATGCCTACGTTACACAAAATATTGAATCAAAGTCACGGGACAAACTTTATCAACAACGCTCTATGAACAGGCCACTATATATGGAGTTTCTATACCGTGAATATGTTTAATAGATACAGAAACCTCACGTCCGGGTTCTTAGCGAACAATGCTGCGATTCGCCATACCACTTAAAATCAAAGCGCAGAAGATTATAAATCAATTTGTTTGTAAAGTGTCCCAGTGTTATAAATATAGCAACACTGATATTCAATTCAATGTTTATTTGGCTTATAAAAAAAAGAAAAAGAAACTGAACTGTGATTTGAACTCCGGACCTCTCGCTTCTAAAGCGAGCGTTTAAAGGGGAGTTACAAGATAACAGAAAAAGAATACCATATCATTCTTAATTAGAGTTTGTAACCCTTATTAATTTCGATATACATGTATTACCTGTTGTTAAACACAGAAATAAATAATCATGGAGCTGAATATAAGCATGTATATCTATAAGAATAACACAATATTAAAAATCTTCGACCAATCGGGAACTTTTTTTTCGTTACGAAAATTAATGCACCTGTCATTTCATAATCTTTTCGCAGTGATCTGCCCTTAATTTTTCGGCGATAATGTACATATGAAAGTAACTGCTTCGAGGAGTTTGGACTACTTTCGGCATTTGCAAATAAGAACATCAGGGTCTGAAATTTCGCTACCATTATTTGTTTGGTAATAAAAATATAGAGAAAAAAAACATGATAGACTTAAATAATGCCAATAACTGAAAACATATTTAACATACGAGGGGAAGTCAGAAAATATCCGGCATTTTGACTCGTTCTCGAAAACCATTCAACATTTTAAACAAGAGGGCCATGATGGCCCTGAAGTCGCTCACCTGTATATAGGCCCCCCGGAGCGGGGCCAGTTTATACCCCAGGTCTTTTATTTGAACAAACTTGGTAGACACCCATTAGAAGATGTTTCATGCTAAGCATCTATAAGGTCTAGCTCGTTGGGTTTTTTAAAAGAAGATTTTTTAAGTTTTTTCTTTACACATATATTTAAAAACAATGACACCCCTGGGGCAGGGTCAGTTTTGACCCCATGGCTTTTATTTGAACAATCTTTGTAGACACTTACTAGAAGATGTTTCATACTTCATATCTACACTCTAGCTATTTGGGTTTCTTCGAAGAAGATTTTTAAGTTTTTGCTATACACATATAAGGAAAATCAATGTCCCCCGGGGCGGGGCCAATTTTGACCCCAGGGCTCTTATTTGAACAAACTTGGTAGACATCCATTAGAACATGTTTCATGCTAAATATCTTAGCTCTAGCTCTTTGGGTTCTTTAAAAGAAGATTTTTAAGTTTTTACTAAATGCATATAGGAAAAATCAATGACCCCCTTGGGCGGGGCCAATTTTGACCCCAGGGCTTTTATTTGAACAAACTTGGTAGACACCCATTAGAAGATGTTTCATGCTAAATATCTTAGCTCTAGCTGTTTGGGTTCTTTAAAAGAAGATTTTTTAAGTTTTTACTATATACATATAGGGAAAATCAATGACCCCCTGGGGCGGGGCCAATTTTGACCCCAGGGCTTTTATTTGAACAAACTTGGTAGACACTCACTAGAAGATGTTTCATGCCAAATATCTAAGCTCTAGCTCTTGGGGTTTTTTAGGAGAAGATATTTAAAGTTTTCCCTTTGGTTGCCATGGCAACCAGAGTTCTGCATGGAATTAAAATCTTTGAACAATTTTGAAAGGTGACCACCAAAGAAACATTCCTGTGAAGTTTGGATGAAATTGGCTCAGTGGTTTATGAGGAGATGTCATTTAAAGTAAAAGTTATTCTCCACCTACGTCTACGCACTTTTGCCATCTTCGTGGGAGCTTTTGTATTCCCGCTGTGAACCATGACGTAGACCTATGTTTTAGGTACTGTGTAACAGCAGATATCAAAGCCGCCCTGGTCTTATATTTCTTTCCAGCATTTTTTTCATTCTGGAAACAAATAAAAGTCACAGGGGGCGAGGTCTGGGCTATAAGGAGGGTGAGACAACACTTGCCATTTGTAAGAGTTGATAACCTCCACTGTAGCTGCGGCGGTATGGGAGGGGGCATTATCGTGAAGAAGGAGGACATTTTTCTGTGCTAACCTGGGACGCATATGCTTTTTAAGCCTCTGAAAGATGTGGCAGGGCTTTTCACCATTACAGAGCGTTGTTCCTCTAACAAAGAGTCCATGGTAGACGAATCACCTCTAATATATCAGAGGGCAAAATACTGTGTATACACAACTATCATTGAAAATAAACTGACCACGTTATTGGCGAATGAATGTAGTTTTCACCAATATATAATGTGTGTATATAGCTGCACGTGGAAAGAGAGGAGCATGAAAAGTCCGGATATTTTCTGACCGTCCCTCGTAAATATGAGGATATGTAAAATTAAACTGTATCATTAAAAGCTCAGTTCTTTACCTTCCTTACCTCCCCTTACATAACATTATATTAAATTACATTACATTACAATACATAACATTACATTTAATAAGTAAACATGTTTCGATATGTATATTAACGATATCTGGCGGCGATGTAACTCCTTATTTCAAAGCGGAAAATATAATTAACAGAATGATTTTCGGACAGATGCAATAAGATAACTAAATCATTTCATTCAGAATTTGTCTTTCCTTTACAAAATGAATCTATTTCTTTTTCAAAATAGATAGAAGTCTCATGGCGTTAATTTTGTATGTAAGACATTTGGTCTTACATGTAACATCACTTTTTAAAAGCATTCTTGGGTTCGTAGCCATCATATCTCTCAGTTTTAGAGTATTTCTTTTTGCCATACATTCTCCAATCAATTTTTCTATTGACCCGAGTCACATTAATGAGCTACAATAAATGGCTAAATTTTATAATGTTACAACTGACATAATAACATAAACAAACAATATGGCGGACTCATGTGACTAAAGTAGTTCCAATATGTCTTTTTATTATGTCACAGGTCTATTGAGAAGCATAATAGCCAAGAAGATCAGACTGATATCATTGACAATGAAAGTCAAGTCGTATCAATTTTGAGAATGCGTCAAAATATAGGACACCATGTTTATTCCCTTTAAGCTTGTTTTTATCAGAATAATATAACCGGAAAATAAAAACTGTACAATTTATTTATGATTCTTTGAAATTAATTTGAGTTGAATTTTGTAAGAAACTTACTAGATATTTTTTTTATTAATTTATCGAAATGAAAATGATTCATTAATTCATAGTTGAAACTTGTTTGCATAATTTGTAATTTCATGCACGTAAGTTTAAATGAACTACAGCTTATATTATCGGTGAATTCGGAAAACCTCGCTGATTACCTATGATCATCATCTTCATCCAAATGTGGACGGAAAGGTCCGAGAGGTTTGTATCTTATACTGTAATCAACAGTTATATTCAGAGAACATTTTCTAAAGTTACATTGTCTATATACGCTATCGTATATTCTGTAGATGTACTTAGAATTGACACACTTTCTTGGATGCATAGTCTGACATATTAAAGAACTCCACTGGGGTAAAAAAAAAATAACAATAACAAAAAACAAACAAACAAAAAACCTTCAACAAATGGCACGTGCTCACCAAATTCGAACACCTCGGCTATGATGCCGAAGTTTGACGGAAAGAGCCGAGAAGACACGATTGGTGATCACCCGCCCTAAAAGTATGACCGAAAGTTCCGTTCCGAAGGGTTCGGGAACATTACGACAGTTTAAAGTACTAACAAATTGAAACATGTCAAAATTGATATCTTTCTTATTTACATTTGTCACGATTGTTTTTGTAGTGTTCAGATAAAACATATTTTTCGCGTGACGTTTTAAACCTTTGATCAATAAAAGTATGGTAAGGCCGACATAGATTGTGTGTATTCTAGATACACCTATGTACCCGGAAGATATGAAACCCTGTTTCTATATTAACATTAAGTTACGTCATTGCCTCATAGAATTAATAAAGGATTAATCATATAGTAATCAAAGAAAATTTTCATAGGAAACCTTTTTTGGACAATATGAAAATACCGGAAGGAGAACATGTGTGGTAAGTTTGCGTTTTTCTATATTCTATACAGATTTAAGATCAACCCTGATGCATGTTTAAAACTAAGATCGGATACCGGATAGTAATAAAATATACAATAGTAAACTATTGTATTTACGATATCAGCATGAATTATAAAGGTAGTAATGCAGTTAATATTGGTTTATACGATTAATATTTGAATCTAAAGAAGCTGCACCGTATAAAGTTACGACGTAGTCAGCCTGCAACGTATATAGCTTAGGAGATACGGACAAAAGTCCCGCGGACGAAAGCTCCCCATCTAAAAATGACAAGGTGGACAAAAGCCCCCCCCCCCATGAAATTTACACGTAGGAAAAAAGCCCCCATCAAAAATACAGGTAGGACAAAAGCCCCACCCCCCAGTCCATCAAACAATTTTATTGAGAATTTCCGGAACTTGATGTATTGAGACAAGTCAAAATCGGTATGTTTAATTTAACTACGGAAGCGTCCTGGTGCCAATTCATAATGTTCTATAAAAAAATAAACTCCTACGTAGGAGATAAAAAAGCCTAATTAGGAGTTTGTAACTCCAATTTCGGCCGTTTGTACTTAGCAATGAGTGTAAAGTTTCTTGCTCAAGGAAACAACGGCTTGCGCCTAACGGGGTTTGAACCTTTGCGGCTGGCCATGCCGCCACACTTCACATTTTAATAAGTGTCTCAGGTTTCTAGAGTGTACAGTGTCTTAGGGTGAGGTGTCTGTAAGCATTGTCGATGTATCCCGAAAAATTGCTTTACAGCTATTCGAAAAAAACTTACTCGACAACAAGCATATATATCAAAATTTTAAAAGGCTTTAACGATTACGTTTTCGATACGAACTAGCTGAACAAAACGAGCAATTTATCCATTTTCGGCCGTTTCAAATGATTAAATCCTTATAGGGGACAGGGGGGTAGTGTAGTGTCTTGTTCCTGCTCCGTAAAGTTTAAGAAGATAACGGTTTGCGGAGCATTATGCATGCATATGTTTAATAATGAATTACATTGTATATCCTACTCTGAACAAAGTTTAACCCATGCATTTTGTGTACCTGTGTATAATTAATATAACTAAACGTACAGAATACATAACCATCGTTTAATATATGCAGAAAATGACAAAATTATCTCTGGCTACAGACTAAAGGTATTTACTAAAGCGGCTTGCACAATTACAACTTGACACATGAGCCGCGCCATGACAAAACCAACATAGTGGGTTTGCGACCAGCATGGATCTAGACCAGCCTGCGCATCCGCGCAGTCTGATCACGATCCATGCTATTCGAATTCAGTTTCTCTACTTGTAATAGGGTTTGTAAGCGAACAGCATGGATCCTGATTAGACTGCGCGGAAGCGCAGGCTGGCCTGGATCCATGCTGGTCGCAAATGCACTTTGTTGGTTTTGTCATGGCGCGGCTCATAAAATTTATTTTCCTTCATAATATGCTATCTTAAGTTATACTCTAGCATACATGTCCGTCGAACTCTCGTGCTTTCAGTACTTTGATATGTATCCTACGTAGGAGTTATAAAGTCCTACGTAGGCGTTTAAAAGTCCTACGTAGGAGTTATAAAGTCCTACGTAGGAGTTATAAAGTCCTAATTAGGCTTTTTTTATCTCCTACGTAGGAGTTATAAAGTCCTACGTAGGAGTTTAAAAGTCCTACGTAGGAGTTATAAACTCCTAATTAGGCTTTTTATCTCGTACGTAGGAGTTTATAAAGTCCTACGTAGGAGTTACAAACTCCTAATTAGGCTTTTTTATCTCCTTCGTAGGAGTTATAAAGTCCTACGTAGGAGTTATAAAGTCCTACGTAGGAGTTATTAAGTCCTACGTAGGACTTACAAAGACCTACGTAGGAGTTTAAAAGTCCTACGTAGGAGTTACAAACTCCTAATTAGGCTTTTTTTTATCTCCTATGTAGGAGTTTATTTTTTTATAGAACATTATGAATTGGCACCAGGACGCTTCCGTATTTAACAAATAAATGCAATATTGTTTAAAAAGATAATTTACATTAAGATTTAAATTTTAAGGTACAAAAGTTCTAATTTGATTTATTGTGTAATTCGTATATAATTCATTGATGATATGAATGTTTTTATGTTTATTATATATTGTACAGTACAAATGTAAATGAATATTTTCAGAGAATCGCTTATCAAAGCTTATCAAGGAAATAAAAGTGAAAGGTGCATACTTGTTTAGATTTATTTGAAGTATAACCAAAGTTCCCGAACATTGGTCGTGTGGAAAAAGATAGTATTCAGTCTGGTCTATAAAGCTTAGGGGGGGGGGTGTTTGATGGCCGGGGAAGGGGCTTTGTCCTACCTGTATTTTTGATGGGGGGGGGAGGGGCTTTAGTCAAATGTATAGATTTAAGGGGGGGGTAAGGGGGGGGGGGCTTTTATCCAACTTGTCATTTTCAATTGGGGTCGGGGCTTTTGTTCGGGGGGGGGGGTCTTTTGTCCTACACTCATAGCTTAATGTTATCTGTATACGTCAAACTGCTGCATATCGCCGTATAAAGACAATTTTTGCAAGATTACCAAGACGGTCTTTTCGTCCAGATTCAGACTAGGACTACTACGCCAACGACTACGACCATGGCTATGACAACGACTTTTACGACTTCAAGTCTTCGTGTTTATAGGCTCTAACTCTAATGACTACGAGTTCTGATACGACTTCAATGACGACTACCAATTCTACAAATATTACGACTACGAGAACGTCTACTACTTTTTTAAAAACATAACACCTGCGACGACAGCAAAAAGTATGACTTCGTCGATTACGAGTACAGATAATACTACGGCAACGACCACCGCTACGACTACCCAGGCAACTACGCAACGACTGTGACTACTACGACATATTTGCTATAATTCGTTACGTTCGACGATTACGATTTTTAACATGACTTCAACTTTTAAAGACTATGTAGGCAATTGAAGCCACGGCGTCGGTTACTATATCTTTTACGACTAAAAGTCTTTATTTACGACAAATCGATGACGAGTATTTCATACTTCTACGATTAGTCGTACAGTTACAACTTTGATACTACTAGAACTTCGACTTTTACGATAACGGCCACTAAGATTTCGACCACGACAAGTCCATTATTTACAAGTACGGCTAAGACTACGACTAGATGATTACGCCTACAGCTTCGACGACGATTACCACTACTAAGACTTTGACAAATGCAGGAATGGCTTCAACGACTCAGACTATGACAACAACTTTTATGATAACAAGTACGACTTTATCTTCTACAAATACAAATACGACAACGTCTACGAACACGACTACTACGATAACAGTTTTTACGACGATGCGAACGATGTCGTTGGCCATGACTACGGTGTTATCTAATTCGACGACTACAAAGGCAACTACAACTATCACGAGAATTTCGGCCGTCTATGCTGATGACTACGAAAACTACGACTACAATGACAACAACAACAGTGACGACGACGACAAAAAAAATGTATATATACGATGTAAAAGTGGTGGGCTAATGACTTAGATGTCTTCCTCTCAACTAAGGAATATTGGATTTAAGTCTTACTTGGGCCACAAAAATATTTTCTCTAACTTACCACTTAAGAGAAGCGGGGTCAATAGCGGTTAAAAGATGCTGAAAATATGAAGTTAAATAAGTTGAATAAATAATACAGCTTGAATTAATGCTTTAAGGGTATAGCAAGTAAATGTATTTGTGAAGACAATTTCGTACAATTACAGAGTACCCACGGAGAGCAGAACTTGAAATAGGTTCGAAACTACGTAATGCTGAGCAGTTTAGGATTTTCCCTACAGAAAAAAACAAACATCTTTTTGATAAAATACATTAGCTTTGGACATTCATAAGACTAGTGTTTAGTGATAATTTCAATTTATTTTACACCATATAAAATGTAAGCAATGAACTCACAGCAATTGCGCCACATGATCTCCCAATATGAATAATTATTAGATCCTATCCTATCAATTAAGCCTGCAGTCACACAAAAATCATTTTCCTTATTGTACTCGAACCAACAAAGTTTTGTTAAAATGTGACAAATTTGGTGGTGTGAAATAAAGATGTCCTTATATATTGTTATATTGGACGGACGAATACACATCTGCAAACCTATATTAGATTCGGCACATCGTCTAATTAGAAAATAGATATCAAACTTTACTGCATTATTGTAGAATAATGCATGGTTCGAGTTCAAATGCGCAGGAATATAATCACAAAGGCTGTTAGGTATGATTTGGAACGCTTTTGTACGTCGTGGTGGCGCTAGCGACAACAGGAAAAAGCGCGGGCGTGTTGTCGCGATGTCACATTGTCCCTCGGTTGAATTCGAAGGATCGGCTTATAAACCAAGCGACAGGGCGACACCGCGACAACGCACCGCACGACAACGCGCCGTTTGGCGTGCTTCGCTAGCGACCGTACGATGACATGACAGCGCGACAACGCGCCCTTTGGCGCTTTGTCGTGATGTCGCTAGCCACAAAACGAAAAGTCGATAGCAATATAGGTTGAGCTGTCGCTATCGACAACGTAACGTGCAATGTACAAAATCAGCCGCCATTTTTAGGCATGAGTGATTAGTTACAAAGCATTTGAATGATAAATCGCGCATAATTATAAAAGAAATGCAAGTAATATTAATATATGTTTCCATTCTGATATGAAAATAAAAGAGGATCGATAAAAATATGTTTAACTTAGAATTTTTCTGACGTCAGTTGGTTTCCTAACGTCATAATTGACGTCATATGACGTAAAAACATTCGTATTGAATGCTGTGCATATACATGTGTCTTGTAATAATGCGCTCGAATGACCTATCAGTGAATAATGTGAAGTGTATTTGAATATAGGTTTGATGATTTTGAACTTGTCCAAAAGAATTTAGTTTCGTACTAAATGTATTATAACCTAATAATACATGATTTCATTTTACGTGTACTGTATAAAATTAATTATTAAATATATTTGAAGGTTATATGGATCAATAAAAACTATTGTATGTTTGAAGTATACAACTGTTTAATGGCATCTTAATAATACTGCACGTCTGTAACGTCGTTTTTCATTGGATAATCGTTTCGTTTTTTTTTTATAGTTTTATATACACGGCTGCGGTAAATATATGAATATATCTTAATTTTTTCCCTTGATAAGAAAGTTTGACAGGGTATATGGCCTTAAATAAACGGTAGTTTGCAATATGACCCTCGCCTAACGCCAAGTGAAATAATTTCAAATCAACCATTTATATATGGCCATATAACCTGTCAAAAATCTTTGTTACCAATAATATTAATAAAAGCGCAATATCATAACAATAGAAGCAGATTTAGATCAGATTATAACCCCCATACAGTTCACGTTTAACGTACATGTAAAAATTTCATTGACAGTTGCGCTGCCGACATGTTTGAATATGACGAGACGAAGAAGTTGAATCTACGACAGTTCCTAACACGATATAAAGACCAGTTTCCTATGTTGATAGTGATAATAGGTGGTCATTATGGGGAGACAAAATTTGACTGTTACGACAATTTCCAGGTACGTCTAAATATAATTTAATTAAGTAACTGTTTTTTTTAAATATCAGAAGAACCAAATTATTTGTTAATTTGGACGCCTTGTCCGAAGTTTTGACGCGGATGTTATTATTTTAGTTTTCGAGTGTTGGTTGTAAATTTCTGAATGTTGTTTGACAGATTTATGCTAGCATTATCTCATGTTTGTTCTAGATTCCGTATGTATGTAGAAGCGAAATTTCAGCATTATAATTAAGGAAGATTTTGTCCTTTATTACCCTATTCATCTTTGAAAGTTTAATATTTATTCTTGAGCCAATTTGATCCGTACACAATTCCCTAGATGTCGTATGGCCATGTTTTGTACAAATTTCTTAATATAAGGAGCAGTGAGCATTTTCCGTTATCTCGCCTTAAGGCCTCGATTATTTTCTGTAAAGAAAGGCACTTGTTGTAAGGCAATGATATTAAAAAAATCACACACAAAAAAAAACAAGAACAAACAAAACAACCTGCAGTAACAAACAATACATTGGAACGTATTTGATTTGTACATAAATAGCATTTATCTTGGCTATTATCTATCACTTTGTATTTAATTGCAGACTATCTTTGCTTAAAGTCACTGTACGTTTATTAAGTAGAATATAAAATAAATGTTAGCCAGAGATATTGTGACAAACAAAAACGACAAAAGATCATTGTATTTCCCATTTAATTTACAAAATCCTAGGCTTTTATTCGGCGTTCCCATAACAGGTACTTAATCGTTACATTATATCTTACATAAATGTGTTCCTTCTAATTTTATGTTTTATTTGTCCTTCTTCATTGAACCTTTCCCATTATGTTCAAGTAAAATGCAGTATAAGAAAACGCACATAGTACGTCAGACCTCATAGTCAGACCGACCTCAGTCTTCGGCTTCGCTTCGTTAAATGTTTGCAGGCTGACTGACCGGTCACTATAATTCTGTGAGACCCTCAGTAAAGTAGTAGTTTAAGTTTGTTTATTCTCGGCGCCGGAATAACCATACGTCCGAGATTATAGAGTCCTTGTCGGTCCACTGTTGTAGTCACATTTACATGCAGAATCTTCCTGGAACCTGTTTTTTACCCGTTGGTGTTTGAAGGAGACGACAATACATTCTAAGGCATCAGCTTTATGATTGCATCTCTAACAAAAACGGCTCTTGCTAGTACCACCCTACAGAGTTAGTCACGACAGGTCAACCAATCATCTCTGGTACTTGAGATGACTTGACCTTGACCTGACGCTTGCCTTCTCCGCGACGTGCAGGGGGGATTTGGAGAAGTGTAGAGAACTTCAGTGCTGTACAATGTTTCTTTAATATGCTGATTAGCGGTTGGTACAACATGACACCCCGCATACTCATAGCCTAGAATATTACCCTTTTACATAACAAGCTTTTGTAAAACAAAAGTTTTTCTATATTTTCGGTCTAGTGTGTCATCATGGTGTCGCAAGCAAATTTCCATATAAAAGTAGGCGAAGCAAGAAAAGATATAGACGATAAAAAGGGCTCATGAGTAAACATGATGCTTATAAGAATAGAATATTTTGTATTTGATTTCCAGTGACTTATACCTTTAAGAAAATTATAAATGTGTTTAGGGAGTATGAACATCTTAATACCGCGAGTATCAGTAAAAAATTTAGTACCCGTATATCATTTATACATTTGTATTATATGTTCAATTTCTTATATATTAACTATGGATATCAATAGATTGCTCTTGGCATTAAGGTGATTTCTTTATTTTTACAGGTATTACGGTAATTTCTCTATTTTTCACGGTATTTCGGTAATTTCACTATTTTACCGGTATAACGGTAGTTTAATATCTAATAGATGATTACAATAGTTTACTATACCTAACGGAAATTTTGTCATGGTATTACAATACATGTGTAGTTTGCTATACCTAACGGAAATTTTGTCATGGTATTGCAATAGTTTGCTATACCTAACGGACATTTTGTCATGGTATTGCAATAGTTTGATATACTTAACGGAAATTTTGTCATGGTATTACAACAGTTTGTTACCTTGTTCCAGGTATTACGGATCCACTGTTACACGGCTCAGCCACGTGTCATAGCAGAAGACTCTAGACTGAATCCCAGGTACCGGAAAGGTTATATCACCATACCCGTGGATACTTCCATCAATTACAGGGTCATCAAGGGTCACACGAAACGTAATTTTTATTTTTTTATCTCAGCAAATCAAGTCATGATAACTGTACAATTTTATTCATTGTACTGTGCACAAAATAAACTAGTAAATGAACATTCTATAAAACATAACGGATTAAATTGAAAATGTATATTTGTGCTAATTTTAGCCCGAGATGATCTTAAAGCGTTTAAACGCTTTTCATTTTTAGGTTATTTTTTAAAGCTGCACGTCCTAACCTAAGTACAGCAGCAAGACATTCATATCAAATCGACTGATTCAAACGATCAATTTTAATAGTTCAAGAGCTTAGCAAAATATATAGATGTTGTTGATTGATTGAAGGTTCAATATTGAATATATTGAACTCGTTGAATAAAATAGTATATATGCCGGTGTCTGGAGATGAATGCACGCATAATTTTACTTTATTCAACGAGTTCAATAAATTGAGTTATGAAGCTACACGAATGTAATGTTCTGTTAACATATAGAACCTTTTGCAGTAAAAAAAACTCGCTTTTTAATTGGCGCCCTTGTAGTGTAACGCTAATATTTTTGCGTCTTCACACATGTTTGTATACGTATAACGCACATGACGTTACGTAAAAATATACGCACGACCGTGAAATAAGTAGATGTTAGTGTTCATTTGTGCTGTTTTAAAAAAATTAGAAACTTCGACGGGAGCGATTGCAACAGGAGAATGTTTCTAATTTGTGTAGAACAGCTACGGGTGAATACTAACAAACTTAGTGTCAAGCTTTATTTGACCTCATTATTCACTTAATTAAGTCACTACGCGGTTCTATGAAGAACTATGAAATATAGAAGGCGACTATGAACGGAATTCGATATAGTATCGACTTTTGTTCTTCTGTGAAAATTAACACACACATTTTTAAGAAATACAGCGTGTTCATTGGATGACAAATAAAGCTGGACACTAACATTTTTAAGGAGTCGCAAAAGCGTCACGGGTCCGCTTATTCTTATCTACGCATATTTATCTTCAACATCCCAATGTTTATTATTTTTATGTTGATGTCAACGACAACGTAAACGTCTTTTGACGTTATTTCACTAAAATGTAAACTAACATTTTTTACCGTGAAAACAATACGCATTTTATTTCATCAACATTTCTCAATATTTCATTTATGATCATATAATAAATGATGGTACCTCATTTAGTGTATGCGATTTGTCAGATAAGATAAAGTCTATATTTTAATCATATCTGAAACTTTTTGCATTAAAGCAGCACACTTTTGACAATGGTCGAGCTAGTATTGATAAAAGAATCGAACCTCTTTTGTCTTCATTAAAAATAAAACACATATAGTCTTATTTTTCTTCATTTCAATCAACATACATAGTTGGGAATCCCCAGCCTCTTGGAGAGCTACTTGAGCAAAATGACAGACTTCCACTGCTGGTCCAGATGGCGTGTGACCCTCAGTATCCGATCAGAGTTGGTAACAACAGACACATGGCACGAGATTTTGGACACATCATGATCAAAGAAAAATACATGGAACATTTTTACATGATGAATGCCATCGACGGCGTTGGTATGTAAGATATTGTTATTTATACCATAAATTATTAACCTTTTTACTTCTGGTTTTTCACTATGTGTTGCGAGTCTTAAGGCTGTAAATTGAACCGTTGATCAGTTCAAAACGAGGTAATTGTCCACGAACGTAATTACCGTTTTAGTCAGGCCAATCAAAGGCTTAATGGACATTTAAACATTAGACGTTATCCGTAACTCGGCAAATGTGGGGTTTTTCCCCAGATAATCTGTAGGTACAAACTAACTTTTACCGTTATAGCTTCACGGTGCACTGCCCTTCACAACAGATTAGTCAACCTGTTTCACTTATTTTCGAAGCTGTAACTGTAACTGTAAAAGTGTGTTTCCACCTACTTGATTAGCTCGGGAAACCTAAATATTCTTAAATCCGGAGTTAGTCTATTGAGAATTTTATCTTATAATTGTGAAAGTAAATCATGTAATTGACAATTTGTTGCATCAAAAATGATGGGGGTTTAGTTATAATGGTTGGCAAATCTTGTGAAAACATTTTTGCCAGTAAGGACAATTTCAAAACATGCAGTTTTTTTTTTATAACATTTCATTAATTTTCTCTCATCAAAACTGGTAACAGCAGACTGTTCCGACATTGTTTTTCCCTATTGGCAAAATAATAATCTAAATTTCAGATTTAAATATGAACAAGCTTATTTGTATGGCTTGTCTATGTGAAGATCTAGAAGCCACGCCGGTGACCGGGTTCAAATACGGATCGAAAGAAGAGTTTGACGAGTTTTGCCGGAAACTGTCGAAAGATGTAGCGGAAAGTGGCGAAGTTTATGACAGAAGCAAAGGCAATGAAGGTGCAAAATAAGTGAAATATGTCATTGCAGTTAGATGTATTCTTATCTGTAATCAAATTATAATTTCCTTTGTTTGCTTCATATTTTGTTAATAATTAAACCATTTGCATGGAGGGATAAATGTACTTTGCTAAAAATAAAATTGTCCTCTGCTATTCAAATAGTCAATACATACAAAAGAAGCGGCCTCTTACAAAAGATAAATTATATGTACTTTATATTTGAATTTTAAGTCATAAAAGTTTAAAGGCACAATATAATATGCCTCAGAAACGAATACATTTTCCTTCTTTAGAAAGGGCAGACATGAGTTTTATAATGTTTAAATAATGTTTTCAGAGCATGTTAGATGCTTATTACCTAAAATAAGTAGCGCTGAATGATAGATTATTCGTCATAAATCACTATAACTTCTAACTGTTATCATCATATGTAAAATTGGTTCAGACAAGTGTTGAGTTTTGGAAACTATAGCAAAACAACAACAATAGAAAAAAAAGCTTCTAAGAAACAAAACGAAAAGCATTTCTGGGATAAAATGAGGCTTTAAAATAGTTTTTATCTATTTTTAGATTATTCAGAGTACTCGTTCGACGAGATGCGTTATTTGTTGCAGATATCTGATAGCTCTTCGGGTCTGCTGACAGACGACATAGGTAAACAATGACATCTATCATCATATTGAACAATGAACTATTCCATAGCAACATGTTCTCATTGAGAAAGTAAAATAATAGTATGATATTAAATTGATAGATCCCTACTCTGACCATTTATTTGAATAACAATAGATTTAACCACCATCATTGACATGTGCTCTTTTGTTAACAAATAGATTGTGGTGAAATTGTTATTGTATCCACTAATCTGATAATAAGAATTAGATAGGTCAGGGATATATGCCTTAGATAAACAAGGTAGATAGTTTCGTTTCTCCATTTCTAGTAATGTCATCTCATTTTGTTTGTGCACAGCTTCGTATTCTAATGATGATGATGATGATGATGATAATAGCAATGATGATGGTCAAAAATGTTGTTGTTAATGATGAAAACCATTTTAAATGATAAAAAATAATGATATGAAGGATCATGATGATGCAAATGATAATAATAATTATTATAATATGCTTAGCAATCGTTCTCTGGTGTTCATGTTGTAGAAGCGGAAGTGTCTGATTCGGAATCTGATGATTATGAAGAAGTTCCACCCGAATTACCATCGAGAAATCCATTGCCCCCAAGGAGATCAAGAGGAAAGAAAAAAGTAATTATTTCACCAGAGTCAAATAAACAAACACCAAAATCACCAAACAGTCCAAAATCGCCAAAATCGCACCACAAAGATTCTAAAGGTCCATTTGGGTTCTTGAAAAAGAAAAATCGCCATGAAATCGAAAATAAAAGAGAAAAAGAAACGAAACAATCAAATGATGACTTTATCCCACCAACAAGTATACCAAAATCTGATAAACCGAAAGAGACAAATTTACATGACACCATAACTGCTGCTGCAAATGACAGACCCCATGTCAAGATAGCCCATGCACCTATCCCTGCTATAAGGCCGCTCCCGTCTACACAAGGTGATATAAAGGCGGAATATGTAACTTTAGCCTCGCAGCGGACTTATATCAATACTCAAGTAGGAAGAGCAACTGTCAAACCAATGCCGAAAACGACTAATGTGATCCAAGAACAAACTTACTTACCAATGGACAAAGGAGAAATTTATGAAGACGAAGAATATGAGACCTTTGCTGATATTCCTAAAATGGAAACAAAACTGTAAGTTTGATATTTTTCTCTCTGTAATATAAAAATAATGATATTTAAACTTTACATTATCACCATTATATATTGCTGAAACGGTAAGTCTTTACTCCACTCATGGCGAATGGCGATTTTACTTGATTTGTAAAATACTTTTTTACGCATGGTCTCACTACAAAAATGCATGCATCTACACGTCTCACACAATTTACCACAACCACAACTGGATACCTTAGTTTAAGACACAATAATGTTACAAATGTTTAGAAACAGACATATATAGCCTAACAGTTATTAATGCTATACTTTTATTTTTTTGGTCAAAATTTACCTTTGAAATATGTACTGCATAAACTTCATTTCAACTTGAATAGTTTCCTTTACACATTTTGCAAATAAAAGGTCATGTACATTAATTTTGTTATTAAAGATGGAATTTTTCAGGAGCTCACCATTCACAGCAAACAGCAAAGTGTCTCCGCTTGTATCTGAACTGCAACATAAAATTACCCAAAAAAGTAATCAAATACCTGAAGCTGAAGAAGATGAAGATGACAATTACGAGGTTGTTGGAGACCCGGATAATGAAGGCTACATGATTCCGCAACAACTTACTCATCAATCACCAATCACATCGCAAGGACATAACAAAAATGGTCCAAAAGACTCTAAGGCTGGTCATACTTATGCTAACGAGTTTGATGTTACGTCTCTGTCAATGAGTGAAGTCAGCGAATCACTCAATGAGTTGGGACTTGACAAGTATGCTAAAGAGTTTAAGGAAAACAAAATTGATGGCGAGATTTTAGCAAGTCTCAGTGTGGAGGATTTTACAAAGGAACTTGGCATGAAGAAATTAGAAGCAATACGCTTGCACAAGTTTGCTAAATCAGGTCATATTCCAAAATAATCCTAGAAATCCTTAAAGAAGTGCTCTGTAACATCATAAAAAATATAAAGGACTTCAAAATCATGAAATTCTGTCTTAAGAAGGCATCTTTGGACTACTAGTATTAATAATTTATTTGTTAAGATTAAAGTACTTGACGAGAAAAATCTATAAATGGACGATTACTGAAACTATATTAACACAAGTCTGCTCTCATAATACAAGTTATAGGTTAAGTTTGTTCGTATATCTGAAAAACTTCTTTCTCCTCATCGCTGTGTGTTTGAATCTCGACGCGCACTTTGGATTCTTTCATGTGGAGAAGCTATCCAGCTAGCTAACGGAACGTCGGTGGTTGTACTCGGGTGGCCGTTCGTGCCCGAAATAATGCACGGAAGGGCACCTAATGCCTTCACTAGAAAGCCGCAAAACAGAAAAAAAGAATAACACCAGTTGATACAACTGTTGATTGATATCGAATATATGAACAATGTCACTTATCACCTTTATAAATATTTTGAGAAAGCAAGAGTTCGATGAAATACATTTTTCATGTTTAATAATTCCTTATTTTAGGAAATGTAAATAATATGTTTGTGAATAAATGAAAAATCTTTTTCTTAATCTGTATCTGCAAAATGCTATTATCTGAAGAAAGCAATTTTCTTATCGTGAATGATTATTATGGATAATCTTGTATATTTACAGATTTACAGATTAAGTGTTTTTTTAAATGTCCTATTTGTTAATACACGCGCAAATTAAAAATTTCGTATTCTTTTTACTCCTCTACGAGAATAGGAATTCAGACCTTCGGAATTGAACGTGGGACTCTTTCAAAGGTTCTTTATTGAATATATGAGCTATGTCACTTTTCGCCGTCTTTCCTTGTTTATCATGTTTTTCATATTTTATAAATAGTTTATAAAACCAAGAGTTCGATGAAATACGTTTTGCATGTTAAATTTGTTCTTATTTCAGATAATTTAATGTAAATAGTACGTTTCTGTAAATAAATGCCAAACGGTTAATAGCATTGTACTTTATATCTGTATCTGTGAAATGCAATAATATGAAGAAAGCAATTTTGTTATCGTGAATGTCTATTATGTATAATCTTGTATATTTACAGATATGCAGATTAAGTGTTTTAAAATGTTAAATTCGTTAATACACGTGCAGATTAAAAATTTCGTATTCTTTTTATCTGCATTTACTCCTTTACGATAATAAGAATTCAGACCATTGCAATTAAAAGTGGGACATTAATCTGGCGCTTCCAAAGATATACAATATATAAAGCAAGGATAGAAAGTGTGTGTTTAGCCTTAAAATCTACCATATTTCAAACATGTTTCCCTTCTGATATGATGATGATAATACTGAATCAATTGGCAACGAACTTCAAACTGTTTCGAGATTGATTAATCTGTCATATTACAATAAAATAAGAGAGTACAAATGTAATATGTACAGGTTCCAGAGAATAAAACATCCATGATCAACATGTCAATAGTCTTGGTCAAATTGGTAAGGAAATACCACTGTTGCAAGCAGGCGGTTTTTGCCATGTTGAAAAAGGCATATAAGACATATTCGGACTAAGCTAAGGGTGAAAACAATGGAATCTTTAGTAGCAGACGTCTTAAACTTGCCGGAAAACACAAATATGTTGAATTAAAAGAATTCCTGTTTGGGTAAAAGTATAAAGAAAAAAATCTTAAATGAGTTTAGCGTGAAAGGAAATCATATAGGAAACAAATTGCGATTCAATTGGAAAAAAGAAAGGGGATGGGGAAGATAAAAAAGCAAGTGGTGTGTGTATTTGAGTTTATTTATACTCGTCACCGGTTGCCCATATGGACGAGTCCTCCAGAAGAGTGTTAGTCATTAAAGATTTGGGAGAATAGTGCAAGAAACAGATACAGAAAGATGCCCAAATTCCAGAAGCATCTCCTGGTTCTTTAGCGAGCCAAGTGTTTAAGCACTCATACACGGGACAATTTAATGTCTCACCCGAAAGACTGATTAGTAATTTCAGTTGGCCAGCCCGAGAATTGATCCCACAATGTCGATATAACAAGTCTCGCGCTCTAACCGATTGAGCTATTTGGGCTGGCAAGCAAGTTGTCTGAAATGTTCAGCATTTTCGATAGTTGAATTCGATAAAGGTCAGGTCAGGTCAACAATTATCGTACTCGAGGCTTATGCAAGTATGTAGCTAAATCTGGCCTGCCTTTGCCCTTAAAGCAACCATACAGTCGTGTGAAATGAATGGGTTTAGTCATATACAAGTTCAGGTTTTTAGGTCCTACTTGCTTTATTTGCATTTCTATGTTTCAAAAAAAATGTCCAATGAATATAACGCTCCATAAAAAGAAGTAACTTTAATCCAAGTCTTTTTTTTAATTGGTGTACGCCGCATACTTATTTGTATTTTTATACTTCTAGTTCGTTAACTTCCTTAACATTGATACAATTTTCGTAACAAATGTGGAACTCGATATCCGTCATAAAATGTGTCGACGAAAACCACCAAATCTGTGTTACGCATCTGGAATTTATTGAATTTCAAATTTAACAAGACTTGTAAAAGTGTGTGCAATAAAGCAAATGCATAATAAATCTACGCTTTAAAAAGTAATGTGATACATTTACACCATTGTCAATAAGTATGCAAACAACCATGGCGGAAAACACCTTATTTACGAGACATGAATTAACCAACCAAAACATTCAAAGACTTGGATTTTACCAAACATTGGCTAATATTTACTGACTTTTAGTGCATTTAAATAGAACACAAAGGAAACAGTTTTATTTCAAATATAACAGAGTTCAAGATTGTCTTTGAAGTCTGTAAATTAGGCATTTGATCCAGAATAAATTCGATATCCTTCAAAGTTTGGTATTTATAAATCTAGAAAAGGAGATATATTGAACATGCTTGTAAAAATACTCTTATAATTTATACAATAATATTTAAGTTTTAAAAGTTAAATGGACTGGGTATTTGGCCGGATTTTCAGTTATACTGGCATTTTCGATGTAACACGATAATTTTTACACGGCCATGTTAATATTATATATTTGCTTTTCAGATGCATGTACGAAATATCTATGAATCTAAGATACACAACCATGCATGTGTGTACGTGCTGATATATCATGGTCACCGTAATAAACAATAAATCAATTGAACGATTCTAACTGTCTGACACAGTATGTATTCTAACTGTCTGACACAGTATGTATTCTAACTGTCTGACACAGTATGTATTCTAACTGTCTGACACAGTATGTATTCTAACTGTCTGACACAGTATGTATTCTAACTGTCTGACACAGTATGTATTCTAACTGTCTGACACAGTATGTATTCTAACTGTCTGACACAGTATGTATCCTACGCTACCACATGTATTTCATTGAATTAAAAAAAAAAACTCAAACAAAACAAAAAAACTCACCAAGCAACCCCAGGCATGGGTGAAACTAACGGAAACGCCAGACTCCTTTACAAGAAATTAAACTGACACTTCTAAATTGAACCACTGAATTTGTTTATATCAAAAACGTGTTCCCAGAATTTATTTAATATAAGGACTTTAATTTCTTTAATTTTAAGTAATACAGAATTCATTCTTTATTTGTCAACTGGAAGTGACCGTTTGTTAACAAGAACATTTTAACATCTGTCTGTGTGTGATTTTACTCAGATACATACTAACTTCACAATCATGCTATTAAACAAACGTGCCTTTATAAATGTCAGTTTCTCAGATATACTGTGTAATTCTCTATAATGTCAAGTCATTTATCATTATTTAATAAACATACATACGACTGTTGATGGCATAATGAATTATAAGGAACATAAGTAAGATATAAGCAATATCAAACATATATCTTTTTAATTTTCTAATAGAATTGTTTCTCGCACAATGTTATTAATAAAGAAAGGACACAAAATAAAACAATGCATAACGACCAAATGCAACAATTGATTGCTGTCTTTTCATTAAGATGAACTATAGCCAGTGAAACTGCTTTGATTTCATTAATTTCTTTTGATAGAGCAAAGCAAAAAACAGCAATGCTGTATCACTAAAAAAATAAAAAGCTGTAAAGATGTAATCATAATTATAATGGGAAAAAAATTAGCACTGACAATAAAAATATAGTTACATACTTTTACTTTATTATTCCAATGTGTATTATAGTCCCGAACGTATAACAGATTGACTAAGTGATGTATTAATATTCATGTACATACACACGAAATAGAACAGTAAAGCATGAAAATCATGCTTTTTAACTTCATGTATTTCCCTTTCCCTCTCAAAAATAGTTGTTTCAAGTGCCCAATAAGTTAACAATGGAGAGAAGTAATTTTCAAGTTTTGCATGGAAAGCATGAATTAATACAACTGCCCATTATTAAGACAATAGAGAACGTGTTTTAAGTAAGAGAAACTCATGAAACTGTCAATCATGTGAGAAAATAAACAAATCTCGGCACAAAGTGTCTCGATCTGTCCATTGTCTCAAATGAGCTTTTCCTTAACTTAATTTGATTATTGACAGTTAATAGAAGGAAATTGATCAAATAGTCGCAAGAAAGAACGCCTTAAACACAAAGCCTAAAACGGAAAATTGTTAATGTTGCAGGTTCGGTTTGATGGAGCATGTCAATAGACAGTAGCGGTGAATACAAGATACCGTCCACGCCCCCAGCACCGACTGTGGTTTAAAGCCCATACACAAAACAGCAGATAAAGGGATGATAATGTTATCTTATTGTTATTTGATAATCTATTCTTTTAATTAAGAATCAGTTTAGGCCCTGTTACAAGGCCCTTTCAGTGAGGATAAACATACTGTGTAGATATTAAAGCATAATGTGATTGTGTTTAAGAGAATATGTACTATTCATTCAAATGACATTGAATTTATTAATCATAGCGTGAACGTTTACAAACGTTACTGAAAATAATTTTGAAGTAGGAAGTGTAATTTGGTAATATCTGATCCACACGTTTTATTTGATTTCAATTACACATTCAACATAAATGTATGCACACTTTAAAATTATCACGACTGACTAAGTTTCGTGAGATTAAATATAAAATGTGGAGATCTTTTTAACTAAGGTTATGTTGAGTTATTGTTGTATCGACATTTAGATTGCTTAAATAGAAAGGATGTGAACCGTCAACGGAATATAGGAAGTTTGAAACAAAAACAGTAAGATGTTTTAAACTCATTTCTATATCAATAAGGAAATAAATATACATTTCATTTATGCTGGATTCTTATATAATGTATTTTCAGTATATAAATTAAAAGTCCACCTTAAATAAGTGAAGTCATAGATACAAAAGCAAGCAATGCATTATTTATGTATTCATTATAATAGTTGTAGAAACCGAAAGTACAAAATGCCAACCTGTTGACATTTAGTCGGATTTGTTCATTATTGTACAACAGTGGGCATATTTAAATTAAAAATGATTGTCAGACATATTTTCAATCATAAAATTTGAATGTCAAATATAAACATTTGTTCTCTGTTTCTGTTACATCTGAAACCACGTGGTAGAACTACCTTCAATCCGTATTAACTCCGAGGTTATTATAGATAATAGCCGAGGACGTTCCGATTGGTTATAATGGAGATATAATGTCCTGCTGTCTACACACAACGTCTAACATTACAAATTATCTGATTGAATTGTGTGATACATTATTTATAGTTACCCATATGCTATGACATTTACAAGGACATAAAGTATCCAATTCATTAGATGTATTAAATAGATATTCATTCAGTACACCTTATATTTTAGTTCTTCATTAACTAGATTTTTGAAACATTTACTATTTTGTAATTAAATTAATTGGACGTTGTCTTTGATTTAACGGTACGTTTTCAATAGATATTTAAAATGTTTATATACGGAAGGTTTAAATTATTCGTTTTACTATTAAACACAATGTAGGACTGTATGTAAACAAATTAGAAGGCACACACTGTGTCCGCATATTATTTACAATGATTCAATACTAACTATCCTATTAAACAGGTTGATTTTGAAACATGGATAACTATGAATTTGTGTCAGAGAAGAAAGACTACAGTGTTCCGGAATTTCATGACAGATTTCATAAATGTCTGCCGAAGATCTTAGAAGTGAATCAAGGTGTGTGTAATGATAGAGACGAGGAAGCGTTTGGTAAAGGAGAGGTGAGTCATTTTTTGCTCTAGATGTGACCTACTATCAGACCCTACACCAACGTAAAGACACGCTTAGTTTGACCCGGCTGATCTATTTCACATCGATAGCTGTGCCATTGTTAATTCATTGTAAGTGAACTAATCAGGAATAAAAAAGTATTAGACAGTTTCTACTAAATATAAGTAGCATGTTTATTAAATAAAATGAGTACGATGAAGCCCAATGACGCAGTTAATACTTAAGGCAAAATATTATCCATAGGTTATATACAGAGTTTTATGAAATTAATTTGCGAGTGAACGGGGTGAAGCGAGAAATTTAGTTTCTTAAAACTCTGTATATAACCTATAACCGACTTACAGTTAGCCCCGCCCATTAAAATCGAGTGCATTATGTAAATAAGTGCGGTATAAATTTAATATACAGCACTGTATGGAAAATATTTCGGCAAAATTTAAACAAAATAGAGGACAAACTTTGGTGAACTATGCAAGAAGGTATGTTGTAGTGCTAACTCCCTTGTGATCTAAACAATAAAATTATAATATGTTGCAAAGAAATTACTATATACTTTTATGGAGAAAAGATAAAAACAAAAATTGTGTTGCAATCTCAAATGTACTTATTAAATACATGTATTTGTGTGCGTATTTGAGTTTATTTATACTCGCTACCGGTTATATGGGTGAGTCCTCCAGAAGAGTATTAGTCATTTTAGATTTTGGAGGAAAGTGCGAGATACAGATTCAGAAAGATGACCCAATTCCAAAAGCTTCTCCTGGTTCTTTAGCGTGCCAAGTGTTAAAGCACTCGTACACGGACCTCGATTTAAAGTCTCATCCTAAAGACTGATGAGTAATTTTAGTTGGCCAGCCCGGGAATCGAACCCACAATGTCGAGATCACAAGTCTCGCGCACTTACTGATTGAGCTATGCGGGCTGGCTCACATACATGTATGTATTTGTGAAGCAGTTAAATACTAAGTTGCTATGTCGATATGGAAAGTGTAGGCAAAATAAACAAGTGTTAAATAAAATTGTTATATTTTTGTCTTAATTGATATTAAATTTTATTATTAATATAATATTAATTCAAATATAATATGGCAGCATGTGCAATATTGATATTGTTCACTCTCTTTTTTTGCTGCAGGTGGTTATAATAATACATGTATTTATATCATTTAAGCATATTTTTGTGTATTCATTGTATATTAAAATTAAAGCTGAAAAGTGATGTTTATAAGTCCTTCTGGCCAAAGTCCCTCCCAAGAACGTTAAAATCCCAAATTTATAATCAAAACACCTTTTCCGTCAAGCACTTGTTTAATGAGGCGTAACAAAATAATGAGCACGCATACGCATTATTACGGTGGCACATAGGTGACATGTGGGTGTCTTTTTTTATCTCGTTCCCACGACATAATATCTCGTTCCCACGATATAATTATCTCGTTCCCACGACATAATATCTCGTTCCCACGACTTATTATCTCGTTCCCACGAGTTAATTATCTCGTTCCCACGAGATAATATCTCGTTCCCACGACTTATTATCTCGTTCCCACGAGATAATATCTCGTTCCCACGAGATAATTATCTGGTGGGAACAAGATAAATTAGCCAATGAAAATGAAATGTTTATAGGCCAACATCGTTGCTATTGGGTTTACCCTTTAACAAAGTGAATGTTTGGTCGCATAGGGATCATGTGGCTTTGATACTGCTGGATGCTGTGTGATTTCTACGGTGGCACAGAGGTGACATGTGGGTGTCTTTATTTATCTCGTTCCCACGAGATAATAAGTCGTTCCCACGAGATAATATCTCGTTCCCACGAGATAATTATCTCGTTCCCACGAGATAATAAGTCGTTCCCACGACATAATATCTCGTTCCCACGAGATAATTATCTCGTTCCCACGACATAATATCTCGTTCCCACGAGATAATAAGTCGTTCCCACGACATAATATCTCGTTCCCACGAGATAATATCTCGTTCCCACGAGTTAATTATCTTGTTCCCACGAGATAATATCTCGTTCCCACGAGATAATTTCAGCCAATCAAAACTCAGTATAGTGGAAAAATTAAAAGTTATTTCCCTTTTTTTAACAAATGCTAAAATGGACTTAAACAATCAGGCTTATATAAGAAACCTTATATCAAGATACTTTCATGAAAGATTGAATTACCGGCAAATAGTGACTGTGTTGCGAGAACAACATGGGATATTATTGTCAATAAGACATTTATATAGACTTTTAAGGTCTGAAGGACTTCAACGAAGGTCGTACTCTGATCCATCTTCAGTTATAGACTTCGTCCAGAATGAACTCCAACATTCAGGCCAGCAACACGGATACAGGATTATGCGTGAAAGATGTCTGGCAAATGGTTTATATGTTCGATCAGGCGACATAGCAACCATTCTCCGTATAATGGATCCCGAGGGTAAGAAAATAGCACACCCGTCTTTATAAATGTATAGCCACAAATAACAAAATGTCATGTAAAAACTTGAGACACAGACATGACAACAAACGTCATATTTATAAGACTTTCTTTTCTGTATCCATTATCATATATTCCTTTATGTTATTTGATGAACAAAAGCCTCTTCTGTATGAACTTCATAAACGCACTACCCAATTAAAGGAGAAATCACACAGCATCCAGCAGTATCAAAGCCACATGATCCCTATGCGACCAAACATTCACTTTGTTAAAGGGTAAACCCAATAGCAACGATGTTGGCCTATAAACATGAGAATACATACAGGAGAGAAATACTTTAAATGCGACGTGACGTGAGAATACAAACAAGAGAGAAATACTTTAAATGCCACGAGACGTGAGATTACATACAGGAGAGAAATTCTTTAACTGCGACGAGAAATGAGAATACATACAGGAGAGAAATACTTGAAATACGACAAGACATGAGAATACATACAGGATAGAAAATCTTTAACTGCAACGAGACATGGGAATACATACAGGAGAGAAATTCTTTAACTTCGACGAGACATTAGAATACATACAGGAGAGAACTTCTTTAACTGCGACGAGACATGAGAATACATTCAGGAGAGATATTCTTTAACTGCGACGAGACGTGAGAATACATATAGGAGTGAAATACTATAACTGCGAAGAGACATGAGAATACATACAGGAGAGAAATAATTTAAATGCGACGAGACGTGAGAATACATACAGGAGAGAAATTATTTAACTCCGACGAGACATGAAAATACATACACGAGAGAAATTTTTAACTGTGACGAGACATGTGAATACATACACGAGAAAAAAATACATACTGGAGAGAAATTCTTTGATTTGAAAGAAACTCCCGATATTGATAATCAGCAAATGGTTAAAAGAAGGAAAAGGGAAGTAACTTTTTGTTGCGTTTTTACAAAGACGAATGAAGCGCAAAAAGGGGAATAACCTTTTCCTGTCACATTGAAAGCTTTTCATTGGCTAATTTATCTTGTTCCCACCAGATAATTATCTCGTGGGAACGAGATATTATCTCGTGGGAACGAGATAATAAGTCGTGGGAACGAGATATTATCTCGTGGGAACGAGATAATTAACTCGTGGGAACGAGATAATAAGTCGTGGGAACGAGATATTATGTCGTGGGAACGAGATAATTATATCGTGGGAACGAGATATTATGTCGTGGGAACGAGATAAAAAAAGACACCCACATGTCACCTCTGTGCCACCGTAGATTTCTCCTTTAATTGGGTAGTGCGTTTATGAAGTTCATACAGAAGAGGCTTTTTGTTCATCAAATAACATAAAGGAATATATGATAATGGATACAGAAAAGAAAGTCTTATAAATATGACGTTTGTTGTCATGTCTGTGTCTCAAGTTTATACATGACATTTTGTTATTTGTGGCTATACATTTATAAAGACGGGTGTGCTATTTTCTTACCCTCGGGATCCATTATACGGAGAATGGTTGCTATGTCGCCTGATCGAACATATAAACCATTTGCCAGACATCTTTCACGCATAATCCTGTATCCGTGTTGCTGGCCTGAATGTTGGAGTTCATTCTGGACGAAGTCTATAACTGAAGATGGATCAGAGTACGACCTTCGTTGAAGTCCTTCAGACCTTAAAAGTCTATATAAATGTCTTATTGACAATAATATCCCATGTTGTTCTCGCAACACAGTCACTATTTGCCGGTAATTCAATCTTTCATGAAAGTATCTTGATATAAGGTTTCTAATATTAGCCTGATTGTTAAAGTCCATTTTAGCATTTGTTAAAAAAAGGGAAATAACTTTTAATTTTTCCACTATACTGAGTTTTGATTGGCTGAAATTATCTCGTGGGAACGAGATATTATCTCGTGGGAACAAGATAATTAACTCGTGGGAACGAGATATTATGTCGTGGGAACGAGATAATTATCTCGTGGGAACGAGATATTATGTCGTGGGAACGACTTATTATCTCGTGGGAACGAGATATTATGTCGTGGGAACGAGATAATTATCTCGTGGGAACGAGATATTATGTCGTGGGAACGACTTATTATCTCGTGGGAACGAGATAATTATCTCGTGGGAACGAGATATTATCTCGTGGGAACGACTTATTATCTCGTGGGAACGAGATAAATAAAGACACCCACATGTCACCTCTGTGCCACCGTACATTATGTAAACAGGCGGAGTCCATTAAATCGGCATATTTAACGTTTAAATTTAATACTTACAGTTGAGTTACAACACTGTATGGTAAATATTTCGGCAAAATTTAAACAAAATAGAGCGATTTCATTTGCAGAGAAACTTTGGCGAACTGTAAATTAAGATACAAATGTGTATAGATAGATTAACATGGACCATATTAGTCAACACGCAAATGCTATATCTGATAATGCTAACCACTTTGTTTATGATTCATAGTTCAATTTTATATAAAGGGATTTGAAAATGAAATGTTTGTAGCTTTGTATCATCATATTAATTGTTTTCTTTAAAGTGAATTGGTCTATAATGGCCACATTTACTTTTAGTATTTCTAACATTAATAAAAATAATAATACCTATCATTAATATTAAGAAAACAATATGGCCTTCAATTAAACAAGATAAAAAATCACAAATATGTACACACATATCAAAAAATATAGACAACAACCATTTAAATCGACAGACACGTGCATACATCAGATTCATTTAAATTGTATATCAAGTAAATATTTTTTCATATTTCTTTTAAAAGCATAAAGAGACGAAGACTCTTTAATGAAAATTATTTCATACTTGCATAGCATTATTTCTGAAAGTTCTTTTAACATATTTTGTATAAGATCTTACATGTATTATGTTTTTTCTAAGTGTATATGTTTTTTAAGAACACTAGGATATCTGAAATGTAGGAAGGAGTCAATCCTTGTACAGATTTAAATACTAATAATGCAGTATGATACGTGCATCTATTTTGTTTAATTTAGATAAAAGATGGCGTTTAATATCCGGTTTACACAATATTATCTTTGCTGCGTGTTTCTGCAGTTTATTCATTTTTTTTTCAAATTCAGTTTTGTTAAGTACTCAATATAATACAACAATATTTAAACGAAGGTTAAACACATTTCTTTCATTTCAGCGGATAAAACGTACGATATATGATGTAAGACTGTAATTATTTACAAACGTGCTTTATTTGAACATTCCATTTTAAGTAAATATCTAATAATTTCCGTAATTTCGTTTGACTTAGGGATGTACCTTCTATATTGATATTTAAAGAAGGTTTGGATTTTAATATCGGATCATGTATCTAATACTTGATAAAAGGATACATATTATATGTTATTTTGGTTTTGGAGTGATATATGTGGATATATTACCTGTCAAGATTTTATATCACCCGAGCCGTCAGGCGAGGGTGATATTTTATCTTGGCAGGTAATATATCCACATATATCACTCCAAAACCAAAATAATAATTTTATTACCCTTCCCCTGCCAAGTTAAGACGATTTTAAAACAAATCATTGCTACTTCAAATGAAACGTCGAAATAAGACTCCCTTTAGGGTACCCCTTCACCACAACATGACGTCACATAAATACATGACGTATTTTCTTTCGAACCTTACGAATGTTAACAAGAAAAAAGGAGTAGTCTGTTGAAATCACTTTTTTGGAATTAATATCAAGCTTTCACAAGGTCATATTTGTTTTCAATACTGATGAGAATATGTATCATTACTCTATTTAGGTAAATTTTTATCATTTGACAGTTAAAAAGTGCTTGTAAATCGGAATTTACATCGCGTAAAATCAAACCGTACGCGCATCGCCACGGCGCATGTTGTTTACAACGTTTGGTACCCAACAGGGAAATTTAGTGTGTATATTACCCGTCCGGCTCGGTAATATCAATTTCTTTCGGGTGATCAATATCCAATCAAAAAGGCGGAAAAAATCTAGAAGGGTAATAAATAATTCTCTCGTGGTCACGTATGATACTAAATACTAGCAACATAAGTATCTACTTTATATTTCAAACCTTCCATTATAGACCAATTCACTTTAATTAAAAAACCTAAGTGGAACAATCTCTTAAAGCAGCATGAATCCAGCCTGGATTTTTAAAAAGTTCAAATATGCCATATACATAAAGTGCATCGAGCCAGTCTATGTCAAATACTAACATTACTTGTGACATATTATACATGTATATCGTCAACTTTCTTTTTTTAAATTTTAATTTTTTAAGTGTTATCTACGGGCTCTTACAGGACGAAAGCAATATTTATTTGCAATTGTTGAAAAACTAGCCATGCATCATAACTGACGAAAACGATGTTACAAAAAGGAGAATCTATTTCTAAGTTTCGGTCATGTTTCGTCATCTGACATCAGGGTCCACGGTGATAAATCTAAGGTATTTGACTGATCAGAAAACCAGCACGGAATGTAAATTGACCAATGAAAATTAGAGATCTGAGACAAAACTCGGAAAATATTATAACCATGGGACCTGCACTGTATAGCTCCAGAATTCGAAGAAGTTTTATTCAAACAAGTTTAAATGATGGTATTTAAAGTAAGACTTTTTAAAATATATACTTTCTTCCGATGAAGCACAATTCTAGACTCCATCAATTTCATGTCAAAATCTAAGGCACATTTGAAGGTCAGGGAATCTATGGTTTTCTAAATCTAATATTTCTGTATATAAGGTTCTCAAATGAGCAAAACGTTTATAAAATTACCGAAACCGTATCATGTATCAGGAAGTTAAGTGTATTCGTCTTTCTACAATGTGTCCTTAAAATGTAGGCTAAAATAAATCAGATGAGATTGTATGAAAAACCACAATAAATGGTTTGACTCCATCACCTATAAATTACGAAATTACACCTTTCCCCGTGATCACAACTTTTCAAAATTAAATCAACAGCGACAAAATATATATACATGTATTTACAATTCAAACACATGGTAACATTGTAGATTTTACAAATGTATTATCGATGCAAAAAATGACAAAGTGTAAGAATTTTTTTTTTTATGTTAAAGTCATAAATAGTGACAAATTGTGTCCGATGCATCAGTGACAAAATATACATGACAATTTAATGTGTCATAATATAAATTATAAATTAAAGCCCAAATAATCTTATTTCTCAAAATTTCGTTTGTTTCGGATATCATGTGTATTAGAATATTTTTATCACATACCTGTATTGTTTTGCGACTCCGCACGGCCGTGCATATATTTTGACGTGACGTCATTTGCGTTATATAAAGCGCGCAAAATGTTAGCGTTACACTATAGGCGCAACAATGAAAAATGGTTCTGTTTCACTTCAAACGGTCTTTATTTTTGGTATGTGATCAATAGAATATTAAATTCGTGTAAGTTCATTATTGAATTTATTGAACTCGTTGAATAAAATAATATTATGCTAGCCAGAGCCTCGCATAATATAATTGTATTCAACTCGTTTTTAAACTTACACTCTTTCAATACCCTCTATGTTATTACAATACAACCTCTGCTGAGACAAGATGTTTAATGGTTACATTGAGGCTTGCTCTAGTGAGGTTACATGTATTTCGTTGTCGCACTTAAAGAAGTTTTGAAAGTTTGGGGGTAATAATAAAAAAATTAGCATTTAAAAAAAGGGGAAAAGGCCACCGGTAACTCTTAATGATATCAATGAATTTTTATCCATAAAATGAAAATACCAAAAAACATGCAGCAACTTTCCATATTTTTAAAACATTTTTGCGATTAAGAATACAAGCTGAAGAGGAAATTGCTGTCTTTGAATGTGTGTATGTATGTTTTTTTATCTCTGACTTTTCTTTGTTGTTTTTTTGTCTCCTTTCTCCTTTCTTTTTACTAAATGTTTTTGAATATACTTTACATTTTCATTTTTTAATGAATTAATATATGGTAGAAACATAGAGTGAGTTGGTGCTTGTATTTTTTAGTTTTTGAAAATAAAGGTGTGAATTGTATGTTTATGTTGTGTATGTTGTATCGTTATGTAATGTTTTTCAAATTCATGTATGAAATAAATGAAATAAAGAGCTGTAACTGATCATGTTTTTGGTAATTGTATTATAGGTGATAGTTATCGGAGGTATATTTAGACAGAAACGTGTAATAACAGAGTTACAATTCAATCAAAGAACAAGGTTAATCAGTATCCCTGAGACTTTCAACGAGAAATTGTGTTTGATCAAAGATGGAAGACGTAAGTTCATTATTTAACCCCAATTCATGCTCTTTTTAACTTCGGCGAAGTGGAAATATCTTATGTTTGCTAACATCGATATTCACTTATGTAAAGAATTACATAATGAACTTTATACCATAACCTCGGGTAGATTATGAATAAACATTTCTGTACGAAACCAGAGATTTCAGTGCCAATATAGTAAGATGATTGAGCTTCATTGGAGCCTGTGTGCTATCTCAGTTTTGTTAAAGTAGCCTCTACCTTTAGCTTTTCATTAGTGAACACTAAATTTGCAAATCCTTTTAAAGATGTGATGATATTCTAAACAAAACATTCAAGCATTTAATTTGACTGATGTACAGGTGAACAGTTTATCTTTGTGTGTGGGACCTCGTGATCGGAGTGATTAAAGCCGCCGGCTTCAAATCACTGTGGGAATGACGTTCGACTCTTTCATGTGATGAAGCTATCCGACTAATTAAAAAAAGAGAAGAAAAAAACTAGTCTAACATAGTTCACAAACGGGCAACTGAGGCCTGCCTCAAGCAATAAACATGGAATGTTGCGATATGACATTTTCAGAATCTGTGCATCATATTATAAAATTTAACATCCAACAACTATATTAGCGCGTCATTTTCATTGCGCTAGGAAGAAATTAGACACATAAAGTGACCATAGACGATTAATGTACTTAAATGATTGTTTTGTTACAGCTGGAAAGGAAGACACGCTGTTGAACATCTTAGCCCACAACCATCTTCCAATAACCGTTTGTTTTCCAAGGAATCGAACAATAAGTTTAGGGGCTAAAACTGTAAATAGCAATCGTATCCCACATTTGACCCTGACCGAAATGTTTGATGAAGTTTACTTGCTTGGAAACTACATCAATAATGGTAACACTATTTTCCATAAATATTTCTTAATATTGACTGAATAATTAACATATAAAAATGCATCTATCATGGATAGACTCAATCAGAATAAGTCTGAAGTTTTTACTAATCAATTTTGTTTACATCTGTATCTAATCTTCGCCTTTTTTCAAATACAAATCTGAATATAGATCTGTAGTGCACCTTTCACATATAAGCGGGTGATTATGATGGTTAACATTGCACTTGTTCGAGCGAGGAAATATTATGATAGTCTATGCGGACGGTAATCCAGTGAAAAACCATTTTTAAAATCATTTGAAACAATAGTCCTAAGACTAAACCACCACATGTTTTATAAAAAGTATATCTTTCATGCGGCTTTCCAAATGTCTGACGACAATTCAAAATATCGCAATCAAGTTAAAAGACAAAGCAAAAAACGAATTTATAATTAAAAATAAAACTTCAATGCCATACTGTTACGCATCATACTAAAATGATATGAAAACTTCTGATCTTTTTCGTTTCCTTAGGAGAGCTTTGTGAGAGTATCGTGACAGTTCCGCTCTACCTGTCACAGCTGCGGGTGTCAATTGTGAACAGTATTAAAGATCAACACGTGAATGTTTGGAAAACCTACAAACGCAAAATAAATGAGGAATGCTCAAAGATAAATTATAACGGGGAATTTGGAAACCAAGGTTTGCATTCTTAATGTTCAATGAAGGAAGTATTCAACACCTAACATCTTGCCTGATTAAATATCGCTAGGGTTAATTCACCACAAGTAATGTAAATGAATCGAATCTCATATGCAATATAATATCAATTTACAATTTATATTTATTATCTAAATAGCATAAAGTTCACGTGATATAATCTTGTTTTTGAATATTTCTTAATCAAGAGTGTGCCATTTATAAAAAGGGTATTGAGTATTTTGGATAAAAATACATCGACATTTTGCCTGATATTATATTATAACTATCTATGTCTTGCATTACAACAAAATAATTCATGGCGTATACAAATAAGGCAAAGACAGGACTTTTAAAATCATTCAGTTTTTAGAGTATTCCAGTTTTCAGATGGTCCGGTTTTCTGAGTTTTTACTGTAATTATTTATGTTTTTTATTTTATGAACAAGATATCGCCGAATACGATCCAAAGGCAGTGCATACTGGCAAGGCATTATCACACCTAGAACCAATGACCTACGAGAACATTGTGAATCTAGTACAGACCAATGACCAAGCATTGTTTCCAGATATGACACCAGAAGAAATTGACGATTTAGGCCTATACGAAGACGTTCCCATTGAGACCACGGGAGTGAACAATCAAGAACTATATTACAACCAACCTGAAAATAATAATGCATTAAAGAATGAACTGAAAACGGGAATAGATTCATTAATGCAAAGAACTTCATTTATACCAAATGTCGTTCCAACATACCAACCTACCAACCAAGATACACAAGAAGGAAGGAAACAAATAAACCGACCACCTATTGCACCAAAGCCTAAATTGAATAAAGATACTCAATCGAACCAGGCGGCTGCCCCAGCTCTTCCAGTAAGACCAGAATCCAAATATAGAAAGGTCAAAGCTGGGACGCACTCTGTGCCTAACAACACTTACACAAACATTCTTCCAACGAATTCCGTTGTTCCGACTGTCCAGGCTACGCAACCACATCTTCCGCGGGAGGGCTACCAAGGCTTAAAAAGTACCAGCCCTGATGAAGGCAAATATCAATCCTTGTCTCGATCAATTAGCTGCAGGGGAGACGTTGCAGGACTTTCAGTGAAAGAAGTATGCGAATATCTAAGAGCACTAAATCTATCAAAGTATGAAGCCAACTTTAAAGAGCACATGATTGACGGAGCAATGTTAGTCGAACTCGAACCTGAACTTTTCCAAGAAGAATTTGGGATGAAAAAAATAGAGGTCGTTCGACTGATGAAATTTGCAAAGGAAGGGCGGCTTCCAGTTCAAAGCAAATGACTTTTTACGTTCAATTATAGTATTGCGTAAAATTTACGAATTGAAAATATTTAGGTATCCTAAAGGTCATATCAAGTTATTTTTTTTATGAAGTAAAACATGGCAACCGTGCCAAAATCCACATCATAAAAAAAACCTTAAAATAAATGCTTTTAAGATTGTGTCATAAGGCATATGATGATATATGTAATATATGTGTTCCATGTTATAAATAATGAAAAGTATGCATATGTCATTTAATGACAATATATTACAGAATTTCTTCAGGCAATGGAAACTGTTTTCACAATCAATGTAAAAATGAAATATTTTTTCAAGACAGAGGTTTTTGGGAAACTGTTTATAAACATATGTTTATAGTTTAATAATAATATACACACAATATACAATTTCATAATTTCACAGACATAATCAAGTGTGCATACAAAAGGGTTTGGCTAAAAGTGCTAACAACATTATCGTGGGCCCTTCCCTGATATATAATTACCTCTTATTTCTCGAAATATCCAGACACGGTCAAAAACATAATTATATAGGCAGTAGTATTATAATTTTATTTGTCCAATAATTTGACCAACTTTATCTAGTGATGTTTACACTAATCCGTGAATGGCTGAATTTGTGTAATGAATTTGCCCTGCTTTGAATTTGGAACAGCCCAATCTAACAAAGTGTGAGCTAATTAAAGTATAGAGCCTGGTCAGACTCCACGAATGAGCATCAGTCGTATCACTATACTGATAGGAAAGCCGTATCACGTTCGATCCCAGCAAGTGTATGGCAGCGATGCGGTGACATAACTAATACTTTACACCAATATCAGGTGCGTTTTGTATAATAAGTAATACAAAGTGAAATCTATCACATGCATGCAAATGTTCACACATTGGTGAGGAATAATATGCGACTTTCATTAGTCAAATTTGAGAAAAAGAGGTCAAATGTAAAATGAAATGTTACATATTATTACATATGTAGATGACAATGGTTAAAAAATCATACTACTTGTAAAGATTTTGAATGTTGTAAGCCAAGAACACTGTCTTAATTTTTATTTTTTATACATTCAAACGTTAATATTTATGCATGTATATGTATCTATGTAGTTGCCTTGCCGGACTAGTTGCCGGTGGCCCTGTGTCCCTCGTTTTTTGCTTGATGCGTTCATTTAATGTCGCTCTGCGTTGATGAATGTGTTCCCATGTTTTGTTGGTACTTTTATATACATGTATGTGTAAGATTCCTATCCAAATGTTACATGTATATGTAGATAATATAATAATATTACAGTATATAGACACAGAGAATTAAAATTACTAGAAACCTTATGTGATATTCGAAAATCAAATGTTTATATACTAAGATTTAAAGAAAAAGGAGGGGATATATTTAGACGAAATCATAATTTTATTACAGTAAACGTTTACCTATCTAGGGAAATCTTTTCCCTCGTTTTTGTTGTTGGATGCGTTCATTTAATGTCGTTCTACCTTATTGATATTTTGAAGGTATGTATGTTTATGTATTTATAAAAATTCTTTTTTTATGTTATTATAGAGATTATTTAATAATTATGTATGAAACAGAGGATTAATGTTACTCAAATATTGTAATATGCAGAAACAAAATGTTGATATGCTTAGACAAAAGTTTTTATTTAAAAGAAAAGGGGAAGGAGTTAGAATTAGACGGATTTATAATTTCAGTACTGTAAACGTTTACATATCTAGGAAAATCTTTTAACTGTAGTTAAATCTTTTGATATGACTTTTGCAACACATTTGGACAGGATTTTATGGTGTTGTATAATTATGTCAGTTACACATAAACACATAGATTGCATTGATAGATTTAGTTTTACAAGACATGCTGGCCTTTCAATAAAAGAAAATGTCCTATTTGTTCTAAATTAGGAGATGAATTTCATTTCATAAATTAATTGAATATTCCTTAAAACGTTTGAATAGGAACAAAACTGATTAATGTAAATTCATTCATCTGATATAACGATATAATTTGTTTTCACTTTTTTATCTCACATTTAAGTTTCCCTACCCTTTTCAAGCTTTAAATTGTTCATTATTTGATCCATGTTTTTCAAATTAATACACCAAACTTTGAGATTCATTACATGTTAGAAATTGTATAATAAATGGACACCAATCATGCCAAAGTATTTTCGCATATACATGTATTTATTACATGCTTTTCGGTGGTTTATAGAAATATATCAGTAATATAAAATTGGTAATTTCACTGTTTGAAACAGTGAAATTACCACTTTGATAATTTCACTGTTTTGAATTTAAGCCCCTTACGTTGTTTCAGTGAAATACCAGCGTGCACAGTACTGGGTACCAACTTAATGACGTGACGTCGTAAATGACGTCACGTTGTATAATTATTTGGCGCGCTTTTCATTCAGTATTAGGTTAAATGTCTTTTTAAAACGTTTCTTTGCATGTAATAAAAAGAAAATTTGCTTAGTTTAGTGTAAGATCGAAATATACTTCACCTTGTGAACACCAAAAGTTAATATTTCACTCGTGGCTGCGCCACTCGTGAAATATACCTTTTGGTGCCCACTCGGTGAAATATATTCCGATCTTACACTGAACTAAACAAATATCCTCTATGTATATCAATGTTTAGTAAAGAATACTGTTTTTGTATTTGGACACTTATAATCCTTTAATAAATATATTTGTTAACAGATTGTATTGGACTGAATTCATATTCGCAGATAGATAGATATTATTGTAAACAAACTTTTGTTCCTTTCCGGCATGAGGACAACCCATAGTAAAATCCTATTATTCTTATATCTTTGTTAACTCTAAACATGCTTATTTTGTGTAAATGATTTACCCTGCGTTGAATTTGGTCCAGTTCATTTGAAAATAGGATTTCAGTACATAGTCTTCTAACATTAATTGATTTCAATATAAAGTACAATGACTTAGCTTCCAAACATAAAATTAAAGTCTGATCGTACAATCACAATCTTACAATTTTAGATTCAAACAGCTTGAGGTATATTATGGTTATTGTTGAGAAAAGTTCTTAATTTATAGTCTCTCAGTATCATATGTAAAATTATAGATATTTTAGAGAAAGGTTCTCAATTTATAGTCACTCAGTATTTTATGTAAAACTATGGTTAGTTTAGAGAAAGGTTCTCAATTTATAATAATTCAGTATTATATGTAAAATTATATCACTTTGAAATATTATGAAAAAAGTCAATTAGGAGATGTCTGAGATGGTCGTAATGTATCAATATATGTTAAGTGTCTCACCCTAATGATAAATGTGTTCTTTTTTTAGGTTTGCGAGCAACCCAGTTTCAATATACTAAGAGTAATAACCTTTTACTTACAGGGTCGAAAGTATCTACATAATAATGTAACGTGCACGGGCTAGCTGTTATATATAATTTTTCTTATGGCTACTTTGCCAGTTGATTGGGTACAAATGATTATACAATGATTTGTTTAAACTTTGGAATCAAGTTTAATTAACTATTGTTTTAACAGTAATGTGCTTGAAAGATAATAAGTGGTCCTTGAACTTGATATAAAATTGGGGTGACACTTTTCAGGCTATTTAATATATATAGAAAAACCACTTGGATATCGAGTTTTCAATACTTTAGTAATAACAATTACACCTAACGCAATGCTAAATTGATGCAATTGAAATACTTCGTAAATAGTGCAAGATTCCAAGTAAGTAATCTAAAATATTAATTAATTATTTCTGTGATGTTGACACTTCGGCAGCTGGACAGAGACTGACCGACTTTTTTTTTCTTTTTTTTTTAATGCGTTTATTTAAGGTCGCCGCCGGAAAGCCCATATGGGCGACCGTACACTCAAGTCGGGTCATCCTACAGCGTCCCGCCGAGATTTTTCGTCGATTTTTTTCCAGCTTTATTGATGGAGGAAGACCCCAGGTGCCCCTCCGGGCATTATTTCAGACACGAGCGGGCACCTGGGTAGAACCACCGACCTTCCGTAAGCCAGCTGGATGGCTTCCTCACATGAAAGATTTCGACCCGAGTGAGGATCGAACCTACAGTGGTGAGGGACCTGTGATCTCAAGTCAGCGACTTTAACCACTCGGCCAATTATTCTGTTTACGCTTTATCAAAAATTTGACAGAAAGACATTTGGTTGCATTGGTGTGTGTAACGAAGCAAAGTGGGACCTGGCCATTGTGTAGGAGTTTAAACAGTTTTTTTTTGGTTTTTAGTAATTCAAAAATCCTTTTTCAATTATGTATAAAAAAGAGAATACTTTGTAAATATTAGAAGAGATTTTCAGTCGCTGTAGAATATTACAAAACCTCAAAAGTTTTTTCTTCTTTCGGCTTTCATTTTTCCTGTATATGCTTTTCCATTAAATTCTTTGGTTTAAACATATCTATTCAACATAAATATTAATAATTTGCAATATAGTAAAAAAAATTTTAAAAAAGTTTTTTTTTAAAAAATACTTTTATTTTTTTTCAAATATTTGTCATTAAAAATTTTTTTCCCGATACTATTATTTTTTTAAAATTTCTGCTTTTGTTTATGTTTGTGAAACAAGTATCTTTTTGAGACCCCCTAGAAACAAAAAAAACGTCAAAATTACATGAAAATTGCAGAGCCGGTTTGATTGAGTCTGTTCATAAGGGATTAAGGAAAAGCGCACCATCCCTTACACCCCCTAACACTGGCTAAAGCGTACTCACCTTTGTATAAAACCTGTGACATTGTCTGTTACTACTGACAAAAAATCTGCATGGTGATAATCCACGCCGGTTGATTAACAATGATATTAACCAGTAAAACACACAATAGACATTATTATGGAACGCCATAGCTGCCTCATGCTATTACATTTCTTTTTATCTTGCCCAGAAAGCGTCTTATTATGTCAAATATAAGCATTGTAATGCCATTGTAATTTGTCGACTTGTCTAAACATTGACTTATTATGCGTAATAGTAGTCTTATCTCTTTAAAATGTGATGTTGATTTGTGTTAACATTGTTTAATTATTTCAACCAGTAATGTTATCATGTCAAAATGTCGTTTTGGCTTATCTGAAATGTATCATTTTATGTCAACCAGTCGCGCTATGTGGTCAAATTGTGGAGCTGTTTTGTCAAAAGACTGTCTGATCATTTGAAACAGTAGTGTTTCTCTTGTCGAAATTTGGTGTTGACTTGTAAAGCACAGCTTATTTTTTATCAAGCTGCCATGTCATTTTGTCAAAATACGGTGTTTAATGCCTTAACATTGTCTTATTGTGTCAAACAACTGTGTTTAATTTTCCAACGTACACTGGCTGAATTGTCTTGTTATATCAAATATTCGAATTATCTCGCCGAAATGGGGTGTGGACTGGGCTAAATCATGCCTTATTATGATAAACTGTATGCTATTTTGTCAAAAAAGCAGTTTTGACTGGTTAAACCTCAACCTTATAAAGTCAAAAAATTGCGATATCTTGTTGAATTGTGGTAATGACTTGTCTAAACTCTTTTCTATTATGTGAAACAGAAGTGTTATATTGTCAAAATTTGATGTTTTCTTGTTAAACACAGAAACAGTCTTATTATGTCTAATAATTGTGTAAATTTGTTCAAATTTAGTTCTGTCTTGAGAAAGCGCTGTCTGGTTTTGCTGAACTGCCCCGTTATCCTTTTTGCTTTGGTCACGTAATACTTAATTTTGACAACATCGCATCTGGACAGGACAACACGATTATCTGACATAATGAGACGGTATTTAGACATGTTAACGTCATAAACTGGCAAGTCAACTCCACTGTATTACATAATAATACTGTGTTTCAACAAGTAAACATGAAAAATGATAATTCGCCGTAAAAGGACGATGTTTATTAAAATTGACACCGAACCTTGACAAAATAAAATGACACTTTGATAAAAAGTAATTTTAGACAAGTCATCATCACGTTTAGACAAGATGATATGACTGTTTGATATAATAAGACGAATATAGACAAGTTGAATCTGCATTTGGACATAATAGCATGACAATTTGACAATTTAATAGCGTTTTTAACAGTTCATACCCATAATTTGGTAAAGATTTCCAACCATTTTTTTCACATAAAAGAGGTGTTTAGGCCAGTTAAACATTAAGTTTGGGATAAAATAGCACTTGGCGATCTGAAAAATAAAGTAAGTGTATTAAAACAGTCATAACCATATTTCGACAAGTCAACAATACTGTTTGACATATTAAAATTAAACGTTTACACAAACAAACAAGATTTATTGGCAAGTTCAACATTAGTATTTCACATAAAAAGATATTTTGTAGACATTGTAGACAAGAAAGCATATGTTTTGGTACAATAAGCAGAATAACACCACCTCATACTAAGCAAAATAACAGTTCAACAAAACAGGACAGAACTGCCAGGTCAAAAATTTAAAACGGTTGAACAAGATATCTCTTCTAGCCGGACATAATAATAGACATGAGTTTTGACAAGTTGACACCAAGTTTCGACAAGATAACACTAATGTTTCACATAATAAGACCACTTTCTACACAAATTACCATCACAGTTGGACAAGACATGCTATTTTGTACGGAAGCTTGTATGTAGCCCCCGCTATGAAGACATGAAGTCGTCTTTCTTGACTTGTTGAACAAACAAGTCGTCAAAATTACGAACGACAAGTTTATATATACAATGTCATTTTGACAAATATATGTCATCATGTCGACATACGGCATCCCGACTTTCATACATAGATGAAACTTGTCGGCTTGAAGTAACATGTATGTCGACCTCCATGTTACTTCTAGGCGACAAATATATTAATGTATGAAAGTCGGGATGCTGTATCGCGACATGATGACATATATTTTGTCAAATGACATGGTATATATAATCTTGTCGTCGTAATTTTGACGACTTGTTGTGTTATATTAGTCGAGGGAGACGACTTCATGTCTTCATAGCGGGGGTACATACAAGCTTCCGTAATTTTGACATAAAAGACATTCTTTAAACAAGATAACACCGAATTTGAACACAATGACATGGCAGTCTGACAAAATGTGACGGTGTTTAGACAAGTCAATATCACATTTGGACAATACAAAACGACAGTATAACATAATACAACAGTGTAATAAAATACCAGGATCACATTTGGACAAGATGACACAAACTTCCCGACAAGAATAACACTACTGTTCACATGATAAGACAATTTGAAGACAATCAACACACAGTTTAAAACAAGTCTGTGTTCAGACATATTGAAACTTAATTCGAAAAGCATGGCATGCATGTTAACAGTAAAGACTTTCCTTTAGGAGCGTTAACACCGGATTTGAACATGATAACATGACGTTTTGATATAATAAGACAGTATTTAGACAAGTCAGCACTACGTTTTGACAAGATAAAATGAATATTTGATCTAATAAGACTTCGTTAAGACAGGTTCTCATAAAACGTTGGCAAGCCAACACTTCTATTATATATAAAAAGACGCTTTTAGGGAAAAATAAAACGAAATGTATCAACATGAGGCAGCTATGGCGTTCAATACATTATCATCAAATGTTTTACTTTTGAGGAACAGAAATATTGACCAAAGTCTTGAAGACTTTTGGTATGCAAACATGTAGATATATCAGCTTTACTTCTGGGGCATTATTGTATCGTATAAATAAACAGTGTTACTATGATAACAAAGCGCCCAATTGGAATTGTGTTTTCTTATCCATAAGTTTACCCGCCTGTTTTGATCAATTTTCAATTTTCAATTTTTTTTTCATGTTCAGAAGATGCATTTATTCTTAATTATGTATTTCTTATAAATTATATCAATATTCCGCGACTATATAAGGCTAATTCCTCTCCGTCCCAACGTCCACATCTGTAGAAAATATCGTGCGATATCGCAATAAAATTGTGAAATAAAAGAAAATTCAATTCGATGAATATTGTTATAATTTTTATACAATGTAGTGAAATTGTTAAGGAAAATATTTGTACAATAAAAATATAGGGTCAATCATAATTTTTTTTGTTTGTTTTGGGTTTTACGTCACATCGACACAGTATAGGTCATATCGCGACGTTCGAGCTTTACTGGTGGAGGAAGACCGTGCATTATTTCAGGCACGAACGGGCACCTGAGTAGAACCACCGACGTTCCGTAAGCTAGCTGCAGGGGTGAGTAACCAGAAGCATTCGTTAGAGTTACGATCATCGTTAGGCATTGGTTAAGCTCTAGTTAGTAATTTACCCTCTAACCCGAAACGTTCGTTATACCAAAAATACTAACGAAACTGTCGTAAAATAACGACTACCTCGGAGTACACGTTAGACCTTCGTTGAAGGAAAAACAACGTCTGAAGCTCTTTCAGCAAAACTTTTTATGAGTATGTATTATTTATATCACGTATTTTCTTCCTATTTTCTTTGATAATAAGTCCTGTCCATATGATGTTACAATCTGGTAAATGTCTTAATATGTAAAGTTATTATTTATTTATTTATTTATCATTATTATTATCATTATTATCATATTATTTCTTCATAATTATTATTATTATTTTATTATTATTATTATTATTATTATTATTATTATTATTATGACTGCATTCATTTTCAAAATAAAACGTAACCGTACTCATTAAACTTAAGTGAGCATTTCTTTCGTAAATTATTTTAAGAATAAATTCCAAATATCTTTATACAAGTGATATCTTTTTAATCCGCAGACAATGGCCGCCATGCTGCTAGAGTATTTAGATAACTGATAGACTTTGGACACTTATATGTTTGAATGCTTCTAAGGAGGTTGATTAATTTCATCAACTGACATAGAGAATACAAAGTGACCTGTTAATCGCCTTAGTTATCTTATGTAATAGTATTCTTTCTTATTTATCTCAAAACAAGCTAACACTATTTGTATTACATGTTTAGCAATACATCACATTCTTTCATGTATGAAATCAAATAGATATAATATTACATTCAAGTTTCATTTTTTTAATACTTAAAAGACTTAAAAAAGTTATACTAGTTCTATATATACAAAGTGAAATTAAAGAATTCAGCATAAAGACATTCATGTACAATGAAAGAGTGTAACACAGTATATGGATATATTTTGACGTGTTTGGTTATATATGAAATTCAGCGGTTTATATTTAAAAAAAAAAACAACATTAATATCTTTCAAATATTTTAAATTAAATGGGTTAACCTCTATTTTCATGAAAAGTAGAGTTTATTAATCGAAACTTGCTTTGTTTCCCATGTAATTTTCAAGCTAGCAACATACGAAGATTTATTAAATATTTTCACCAGTGTGTAACAAAGGTTATGTAAAGAAAGTTTTACAGAAAAAGCAGTTAATTTCTTCATTTGCGCATCATTTAAATCAAAACAAAAATAATCACGTTGCTATATTAGCGTCAACATTTTTAAAAGCATCGATTAAGATATTAGCGAAGATATTTATTGCCATTGGCCAACAATCATAAAGTTTGAAACTATTTTATTACCTTATTCTTAAAAATGATTCACATTTATTAAAAAATGTATACTTTGCCTTTAAAAGGAAAAGATGATTAACATTTTCTCTTAAATTGTTTATAAATCTTTATTTATTTTTCATCACAGAGAAAATATCAAGAAGAGCAAGAATAATATAGTAATACATATAGCATTTCAATCGAGGGATTAATTCACTATATTATTTGTCTCCCAAAAAGTATTCCCCCAAAAATTTTTTTTGATTTTTATTTACTTTGCACTTTAACCACTTTACTCTTAGATTAGTGTAACACTCTATTTCCATTCACACACATACCAAAATTATTAATACATTCTTAAAGATGAGGGCTTAAATTATGTCTAGTCCTCTCCTTTTGTTTTTTGTTAACAAATCCAAAAATGTTCAGTTGTTTAATTATGTTCATTGGTAAACAGTACTTCTTGGTCTATAGGTTTTTGCCTAGATAAAACGTTGTTTTTAATGGGTTTAAAAGTAAAATACACCGTTATTGTTTTTGTATTGTATTTGTATTGGGTATTGATAAATTTGATTAATGAAAAATTATATGTCTTTTATTAAATGAACATAACAAATTCCATTTAAACATTTTTTATGTAACCCTTGTAGATTTTTTGATGATTAAATCTGTTATATAAAAATGTTAAAAATTTTAAATTACGTTTAAAAACAGTTTATCCTCAACACTTATTAATAATCAAATTTGGGTTGATTTGAAAAACGTTCTAAGTATTTTAATTACTGAAGCTCGGTACTACAATTATAACGCCAAATTAAAAATGTAAACGTACATTTATCTTCAAAAGTTTATTTTAAAAAATCAATTGAAAAATTTAGTATTTGAAATTGGGTATTGGATGAATTTTATAATCAATGTATCAATCAAAAACATTTAGTATGAGTTATGTACTATGTACAATGTCAAAATAATAATGGGTTCTGTTCTGTATTTATATCCGAAGAACTTAGAATTGCTTCTTTAGATTCGTTTTTACGGCGAAAGTATGGCATAATACAATACAGCCACGCACGCACGCACGCACGGCACGCACAACACGCACACAATACACACACACAAACAAACAAACAAACAAACAAACAACAAAACAGATTCATACAGAGTGTCAATATTTCTTTCAAGCAGCTGTGTTCACAGAATATATGGGCTGCACATTTGCACAAAATTTTTTTAAAACAAATTATAAAAACAGTTTAAAAAACAATTATTTGTACGTGCAAATGTAATCTTATGCAGGAAAAGCTAATAACAGGTGGTGCCAAAATGCTGTAATACCCTTAACGATTACACAACGATTTCGTTAATCGGAATTTTTTACTAACGATGATTAGCCGATAAACAAAACGATGCTTTCTCGGTTATGCAACAAAAAAAATCGGGTTAAAATCACTAACGTGTTGTTACGCGATCGCTAACTGCTTTCGTTAGCGTGATTTTAACGAAAAGCTTCGGTTACCACCCCCTGGATAGCCTCCTCACATGAAAGATTGATCATTCCAAAGTCCCTGTCGGGATTTCGAACCCACAGCGGTGAGGGGCAAGTGGTTTGAAGTCAGCGACCTTAACCACTCGGCCACGGACGCCCCAGGTCAATAATAAAGTTATTTTGCTAGAACTGTTTTAATATAAAAGTAAGGATGAGTACAAAAATAACCCAATAAACCACACACACACACACACACACACACACACACACACACACACACACACGCACACACACACACTAGAAAAAAACAACAACAAAAAAACAAAAAAACAAAAACAACAAAATAACAAAAAAAAAAAAAAAAAACACAACAAAAAAAACATACGATGATCTAGGTACTCCATAAACTTAAATTTTATCCTATGTATCAATAATATCATTGGGCAAGAAACTTCATTCATTCATTAATCGGTACTGGTAAGTTCCAGGAACGGTTTACAGGCTGATAGCTTCCTGCACAATCAAACTAAAACAAATTTTAAACTAAAGGAAGGCCGTCAAAATTGCACCTATTTAGAGCCCCTGGGCGGATATTCCTAGTAGGAATTGCCTCAGTATTTCATCAGATTCCATGGACTTCCTTAAAAAGTTTAAAGATTTTTTTCTTTTTCTTTAATACAGCCGGTGAGAGGCAGAAAAAAACAAAAATACGTTATTGAAATTTTGATTAAAAATTTTTTTTTTGTAAAAAGAGTATATTTAGTACTTTCAAAGTGAATCTTGCTTTTGGAATAAAATGCGACAATATTTATTCATAACAATTTGCGACCTGTTACAATTATTTAAACCAAATTGATATCTTAAAACACAAATAACTTAAGATTTTATTTGATAGGAGCCTTGATAGAAAAGTACGTGGTTTATAAATGAAAGTATCATGTAATATATGTCATTCAAGGAGCCTTTAAAAGATGTTATTGCCTCTGTTCATTCATGCGTCACCAAAATGTACCTTATGTAACCTTTTTATACATATCTTTACTTCCTCTTTATGAAATGTAAACACTATTTGGTCATGTAAACATAACTCTTTATAGCGATCGATCTGTCTGTCTGTTGGATTATGTTTTAGTCGGTAAGTTTTGTCGTTCAATTCAATTCGTTTAATTTATTATCATTATTTTATCATTTATTCAAATTACAATAATTATTCTTCAAAGAAAATTGCATTTTTATATGTTTGTAATGTATTAAAACTGTAAACAAATAATACACGACAGACGCTAGAGACAATAATTATGTAAGTGCAATATAATGCGAGTACATTAAGGATGCACATCCGGTTTGTTTTTACTAGATTCTACTTACAGCATAGTATTACTGAAAAAAAAGTAAATACTTTAATAGAAGGTTCAAAATTTAAACTAGAGCACGTGATTAAGGAGATATTTCACACAAGCATATCTTAATTTAAAAAATACAAAATATACAATTGCGAGCTTTTATTATAATGATACCTTTTGTAAAATTAATGGGATTGAACAATGAGATTAATTTCACGCTTCATATTTAAGTTGAACACATTCATAGATTAGTCATAAATTTTATTTCGTTTCAGTTTGAAAATACATGTGATATGATATGGCTATGCATGTTATAACATTTAATGCCTAATAAATATTATAACGTTATGTAGCTGAAGCTGAAACTTTGAAATATGAATCTAAGAATTTCCATATATATTTGTAACAACTTCTCCTGTCCTACAATTTCTGTTTCAGTTTATTTTCTTATGTTTGACTACTATCATATGAGGTATTTGATAATTATATATAGTAAAAATATCCAAATTATAATACATGTCTATATACTTATATAACACTTTGTTTGTGATTTTAAAGTTGTTTGAATAAACCTTTGTAAATAAACATACAGTTATTACATAAACTTTTTCTAGTTGTTGCACTTGTATGATTAAGATAAAGTAGAATATCACGAAGTATTTAGTTCTGTTTCCTTTTCATGACTTGCCCCTTACTGAACAATATGGTTATTTTAAATTTGTTTCTATAAATAATAATAATAATAATAAATAATTTAATAATAATAATAATAAATAAAATAATAATAATAATTATAAAAATAATTAATAATAATAATAATAATAAAGTAAATAATAATAAAATAATAATAATAATAATAATAAATAATAATAATAATAATAATAATAATAATAATAAAATAATAATAATAAAAAAAAACAAAAAAAAAGCAAAAAAAAAAAAACCCGAAACAAATGGCGTTCATGTTATCAGTACATGTAGAAAGGTGCATGTTTGTGGTTTTTATCGTCAATCGATCAAATATTAAACGTTATCATCGTGAAATATGTGTTGAACTAATACATACATGTAGTTTTATTTGTATAAGCAATGAGGTGTCAGGTAGTATGCTATTAAACAAATCGATCAAGTAAAAAAACTACAACTATAAGATAAGAGAAAAATAAAGATATCACAGCATTATCAAATCGATGAACATGTGAAGTTTAATAATATTTTATATTTGTATTTAATATCTTGTGTTGATATATATGGACTTTTTTGTCTTAGTGCGATATCGTATTATATGACATAGCTCAGTTATACAATACCGGAGACTATATGGTCCAGTAAATATAAACAAAGTAACTCATAGATCATGTAACATTATATAATAATGCAAGGAGTATATCATATACCACTCCAACAAAAAAACTCGCTCAGTGAAAATATTGTGGACACAATTTGAAATACGTTCAGCGGACGTTTTATCATTTTGACGAAATTGGATATGTAAATAGCGAAAATATCTTTGTTTTTAAAGGTGAGATTTTAAATCCATCAAAAACAAATCAGAAAAAAATGAATATATATGAATGAATGTATTTTTTTTTGTAAGATTTTACAACTAACGACGAACGAAACGAACGAACGAATTCACGATTGAAACCAGCAATGAAAACAAACAAAAAATTAAACAAATAAACAAAAAAGAATGATACAAACATCAAACGTTTTAATTCGTAATATACATGTATGTAGACTCAGCACGTTCTGGTCATATAAGTTTTTTTTCCGCGTTAACTAAAGTTTCATCAAATAAATTTAGGGTAATTATTTTACATATCATGATCAAATAGATTTGTATCTAATATCAATATATTCAGGTGCATTAACCAGAACAAGAAATGGAGATACAGATTATAACCGACAGTGTAGACTATAGCATTGCTGAATTCTACGAACATTTCCATGCCGACATTCCTCTAGTAGTACAGGTGAGCCAGGGATTCCAGGGACATATCATTGAAGACACGTTTGGAAAAGGGGAGGTAATTAACATTTATCGCTGTAGCAACGCTATATGTCGCAACGCCGCTATATGTCGCAACTAACGCTAAATGTCGCAACGCTGACGCTATATGTCGCAATCAACGCTATATGTCGCAATCGCCTACCGCTAAATGTCGAACTTCGCTATATGTCGCACAAAAACGATTGCCGCAAATGTCGCAACCCCCTTGACGCTAAATTCGCACTTGGTGGAAAAGTCAAATTCAGTCAGCACATACCAATTGTTTCCATTTATATTGTAACAAAACTACCTTTCATAAAAAACAATATATCGCATTAAGGTTAATCGGTAACAAAATGAAATTAAATATAAGCCGCGTTGAATTCATATCGTTACTGCGTGATGCCCTGTCTTATTACTATTTAATACAGTGAACGAAACAACAAACATCAAAATAGTTGGTAGCGGGACACACTTGAAGTCAAAGGTTAACTTTTCACTTTATCTGCTAATTGATCAAACTTCACACAAATGTTCACCGGCATAGATATGTGTCCCCATGCAGCATCAAGGTCCCTACCGCGTCAAGGTAAAGTCACACTTGAAGGTCAAAATTCTTGTCCGCTCTATATAACTTTATCATTTATTATGCGAATTTGAACAAAATTTCAAAACAACTTGTTTGTAACCCAGGCATCCGCCACCGTCGGTCTATTGAAGCATTGTCCTTTAGCACCACAAACAGTTTTCTGACAATGAAAAGCACACACGTCACAATTACATCAACTATGGTATAACAGAAAACGTGATACTTTAATATAATATATATAATTATTACAAGCGTAAAATGGCTTGCGAAACAATGTTCGATGGTAAGGCAAAAAACTGTTATTTAAAAGGCAGCTGTTTGAGTTTACCAAATTGCTTCACAGCATGTTAAAAAAAAAAAAAAAATATTTACTATGTTACACCACGAAGTTATAAATTACAATCTGTTCTTAACATTTTACTGGGTTGAATGGGAATCGTTACTATAGTATAATTATAATAGTAAAATATTTCCTAATCACACGGTTTTTTGATTGTAACGGGTCTGTGATAAAAACTTTAATGCGTTAAATATTAAAAAATAACATTTCTTCATAACGGGGAACTTGTTTTCTAGTTTTAAGGCAAAAAAATTAGATGGATAGTTTCAGATATGCATTTTGTATTTATGAGAATGTAACACATTTTTGCGTGTTTGTCCAATACAAAACAGTAACAAGATTCTATGCCGTCATCCATTTCCTGAGCTTTATTGTCAACATGTAGTTCCATGATATTTAGTCTCGATTACCTACCCCCTATACATGAAAATCTGAAATCGTCCAGTCCATTGGATGCTTACAGGACATTAGAAAAAATACTTTCTTTTCATTTGACAAAAATGAAACATAAAAATGTTTTGCAACAATGCGAGAAATTTAAAATGTGTCCCAAAGTGTTAAAATTATGTACGAGACATTTTTTATTTACTTGTGTTTTTATTGGGAACTCGCAAAATAAATCGTGTAGTGCCGCAGTAATTCATGTGTGTTATTCCCTGCGGTCTGAAGACCGCAGGGTATTTTTTTTAATGCGTTTATTTAAGGTCGCCGCCGGAAAGCCCATATGGGCGACCGTACACTCAAGTCGGGCCATCCTAGAGCGTCCCGCCGAGATTTTTTTCGTCGATTTTTTTCCCAGCTTTATTGGTTGAGGAAGACCCCAAGTGCCCCTCCGGGCATTATTTCAGGCACGAGCGGGCACCTGGGTAGAACCACCGACCTTCCGTAAGCCAGCTGGATGGCTTCCTCACATGAAAGATTTCGGCCCGAGTGAGGATCGAACCTACAGGGTATTGGTACGCGTTTAACTTTTGAGGCATGAAGGAGCACATGACATGTTTTCGGTACATGGAGGAGCATGTGATCTGTAAACCGTACATGATTGGTAAATTGACCTTTTCGAAAACCTAGCTAAATACCGTTTGCCGGTACGTTACGGATTTACCTCTAGGGAATTAGTCCGAATTACACCTAATTAACAACAAAAAACTATTACGTGATATTTCTAATTTTCTATAATTATTTTACCGTTTAAGGTGGAAAAACTTAATTGATGTGTTTGAAAATTATCAATGTTTCTTTAATATCTATCTCAAATTTTATAAACAATAAATTGTTTATACTGAAAATCTACAAAATTAAAATATTCGTAGTGGCATCTGCCATACTAAATAGAGATATTTTCTGCGTAAACTTGTGTGTTTACTTTTTATATTGTTTGCTCGGAATTATTCATAAAATGGTAGGCCTATTTAATCATTTTCTTAAAAAGAAATAATTGTTTTATGTTCGACCTTCTCCGGTCTTCAACGGTCACCAGTTTTCAAAAACCTTCTTCTATATTGATCGTTTATTCAATTGTCAACTATATTCCTGATACAAACGTTGATTTATCCCCCCCCCCACACCCCCAAAAAAATGTTGAAAATAGTTAAATGAAATATCTTTATATCATTAAAATGTTCACCGCAGGAAACCATTTTATTTGTTATTTATTTGCAATGTATCAGCCAAAGGATTCCGACCGAATTATCAACGATTTATTGCACAGACACGCAGAATTATTCCCTGCGGTGTGGAGACCGCAGGGTATTGGTACGCGCATGGAGGAGCACGTGACTTGTTTTCGGTACATGGAGAACCATGTGATCTATAAACCGTACATGATTGGTTAATTGACCTTTTCGAAAACCTAGCTAAATACCGTTTGCCGGTACGTTACGGATTTACCTCTAGGGAATTAGTCCGAATTACACCTAATTAACAACAAAAAACTATTACATACGTGATATATCTTATTTTCTATAATTATTTTACCGTTTAAGGTGGAAAAACTTGAATGATGTGTTTGAAAATTATCAACGTTTCTTTAATATCTGTCTCAAATTTTACAAACAATAAATTGTTTATACTGAAAATCTACAAAATTAAAATATTCGTAGTGGCTTCGCCATAATAAATATAGATATTTTCTGCTTGAACTTGTGTGTTTACTTTATTTTTATTTTATTTTTGCTCGAAATTATTCATTAAATGGTATGCCTATTTAATCATTTTCTAAAAAGAAATAATTCTTTTATGTTCGACCTTCTCCGGTTTTCAACGGTCACCAGTTTCCAAAGACCTTCTTCTATATCGATCGATTATTGTCAACTATATTCCTGATACAAATGTTGAAAATAGTTAAATGAAATATTTTATATCATTAAAACATTAAAAATGTTCCCCGCAGGAAACCATTTTACTTGGTTAGGTTTTGGTACATTTAATGCTATAAGCAGTGAACAATAAGCAGTAAGCCGTAAGCAGTTGACAGTAGGCAATTGACAGTAAGCAGTTGACAGTAAGCAGTAGGCAGTTAACAGTAGGCAGTTGTTAGTCAGAAGTAGACAGAAAGCAGTCAAAAACAGTTGGCTGTCGTTTATGGAATTCCATGTTATAGTGCATGCATTTATTAATTTATCAGTGAATTCCTTTAAATGTTGTTCTAAGAATAAATATGTACCTGTAAACTATTAAAGTAAATTAGGAGGCAGAAAAATACCAAGGGTCCAACCGGGTTTTGAACCACAGACCTCTTGGTCCGTAGACGGACACCTCAACCACGTAGTTAAAGGGTTAATCTAACAGCAAGGCTGATGGAAGTGGCCTATATACCTACAACCACTATACTCCTTCCCTCTTTACTTTTCAGAGCTAGCCAGCTCTCCTGAATGACACTCCCTGCTTACCGCATGAGTCGTCAAACACTTCTGACACCATTAAAGTAAATTAGGAGGCAGAAAAATACCAAGGGTCCTACCGGGTTTTGAACAACAGACCTCTTGGTCCGTAGGCGGACACCTCAACCACATCGCTAAAGGGTTTACCCAACAGCAAGGCTGTTGGAAGCGGACTATATACCACTGCACTATATTGTGTTTGACCTCCAGAACGGCAACTATTTCGGCAACTGAATAATTTTTTGACCAATATAGTTGTAATAGGTCGTCCATTTTTATTTTAATGCTATAAGCAGTGAATAATAAGTAGTAAGCCGTAAGCAGTTGACGGTAAGCAGTTGACAGTAAGCAGTAGGCAGTCAACATTTGACAATTCCATAGTATATTGATTCATTAATGTTCCCAAAGAAATATTGAGATAATATATAAAAAGTTATGAAAGTATAACAATTCTGTCATAAACCTAAATCAATACACCGCATAGTTACGAATATCGATCAACAGATCAATTGGGTACATGTATTATTTAATACTTACATGTAGTAAAGCCTATCTAGTCAGATTATGAACAGGTATAATATAATATATATATTAAGATATAGTTCCCCCTTAGCATTAACAAGCGGTTTGCTCAGTCATGTCAAATATACATGCATATCTAAATGTTTTTGTTGATGCATTTTGTGCGAAAGACATCCTCAAAGAGAAAGTTTGATCTCACACCTGGTCCGTGGTTGAGAACCAAATCCATCCCTTTTATCAAAAACCGTGTCTATGGCCATACAAGGTTTTTGCCATAGACCGCGAAATACAACTTTTGTTTGCTTACTAGGATATGTTTTCGTGTGTAAATGGTATAAACTTTAAATGTTTTAACACTTACTTTTTGTTTCAGTTCCATCTGTTACTTTCCTACTAAGTGCGACATTTAGCGTCAAGGGGTTGCGACATTTAGCGGCAATCGATTTTTGTGCGACATATAGCGGCAACGTTGCGACATTTAGCGGTAGGCGATTGCGACATATAGCGTTGATTGCGACATATAGCGTCAGCGTTGCGACATTTAGCGTTAGTTGCGACATATAGCGGCGTTGCGACATATAGCGTTGCTACAATTGCTTCCCAAATTGACGGTTTATTTTAAAGATTATAAACTTAACATATGACGTTTTACATTTCTTGGAGTTTTGACATTTTGGGCCTTTCCAGGTCATGAAGTAACGCAGGTACTTGGTGGTAAAATAAAAGATATTGATCAGTTTCATGGTCATCTTTAGATTTCTTTGTCATAAAGTAACAGTGTAATACTCATTAAATAACACGGTAAGGTTTCTTAGGTTGCTTGGTCATAAAGTAACACGTTTAGGTTGCTTGGCCATAAATTAACATGTATACTTTTTTCTTGATCATTATGTAACAAATTAAGCTCTCTTGGCCATAAAGTAAAACATTAAGTTTTCTTGGTCATAGAGTAACACAGTCATTTATTTTATGCTTTTCAGTTGATTACTGATTTATCCGTGAACATTATATTTGATAATTTCACAGTGAAAATTATCAAAATATAATTTCACACTTTTCAATGACGAAACAACTGTTTTTAAGATTTTCCCCATGTGGTACCTCAATTTTATTTTTGCTGACAATTCTGACAATGTCAGGCTGTTTAAAGAAAAGCAAAGCTGAAATTGATAAATAACTAATTATAAAATGTCAAAAGTAATAAAAAGAAGAAAACTTACTTCTATTCATTCAAATTCCAATAACCAAATATCGTCTCTAAATTTTTTGTTTCATTTTCACAGTCTGAAAAATACATTCCTTTCACATGCAAAACTGCTCTTGATGACTTTTGGGCATATTTAAGTATCCTACGAGCAATAACTGCCGTATGCTTTATGAAAATTTGAAAAGCAATGACAGTCATCAGCCCGAAGAATAAGTAAACAACCCAGCGTTCGTAATGCAGCCTTTGAACAATTCCAAGTTTTCCATGTTCCTAGCTGCTTTTTGAATGTTTTCACATCTGTCAACTGTTACAATCCTCAAATAAGTTTTCTTTTTTTTAAAAGGTGCATGAATAACAAATCCAAATGATATCTCTCTGAATCAAACACAATTATTTTTCTCCCGTGAAATACACAACTTTTAAAAAAGTGCGGCCGCTGTCATTTAACACAGCAAGGTCTGATATAAATTCGCAGTAAGTATCAGAAATATGGATGGATGGTTGGATTTTTTCTCCTACTAGAATGGTTCTTTTTTTATTATTAAAACAAGCGATCATTCATATTTTTTTAATTAAATGAATGATATCACCGTCAATTAACGTTGATTGTCGAACTTATTTTCAGCCCAAGACTTCTTGTATTTAATGAGAAATTCCGACTAAATGAGGCTCTCAATGGGGAAAGCCGATTTTAATATTTACATTAATATTGTGAAAATTTCGTTTTAACTTCTTTTTAAGCATAAACTAAAAAAAATTTGTTTGTTTGTTGTGTAAGATGACATTTTATCTCATCGAGTGGACTTTAAAAACAGTATCTTACACACAAACAAACTGATATCCTCTATTTATTTTATGCTTTTCAGTGAATTACTAATTTATCCTAGAAAAATATATTTGATAATTTCCCAGTAAAAACAATGAATCATGACGGAAAACTGTTAGGCTAATATTGAATAAGCTGGAAGCTCTTTATTTTGTGGATCATGTTACCAGTGACATAAAAACGGAAAATTCCGTTCTTTGAAAATATGAATTTAATATTTCTAGATTGGTCTACTGTAGGTATGGTTACTGTTTTGTAATGTATTATTTTGATAAAAACCTTTTTTTTCTTCAAAATCTATCTCTTTATGTAGACACTCTTGAAAATGCATTAGCATGATATTAACATATACATATACTTTGCGCTGATCTGTTTTCATGTGACGTTTAGATAACGAAAGAAGGCGTTTTAAGGTAATGCATTTTACCGATGGCAATTTGATAAACAATAATGCAATTGTATAATTGTCAAGAGTTTGTTGATCATTCCTTGCCACATGTATCCAATTAGTTGTTTCTTCACCATTATCCTTGTAATAGGACCACTGACACTGTCAAGGTTATGTGGCGACATTCCAGCTTTACCGATTGAGGTTTGTACGTCATTTCCGCTACGGACGGGCACCTGAGTAGAGCACGCGACGTTCCGCCATCTAGCTGGCTAGCAAATCATTACATGAAAGATTGCAAAGTCCTGACGGGATAAGAACCCACAGCGGTGAAGGGGCAAATGATTTGTCTTCAGCAACCTTAAGTGCACGGCCGCGGAGGTCCCACTTTTGTAATGTGTTATTTATTGTTACAGGTTTGAGTAACATAATATCGTTTTTTTTAACAGATTCTGTATATAGCTGCAATATCAAAACAGAAACGTGTTGCAGCTAAAGCTCACACTAAAGGATCTCACAGAGTGTTAAGTATACCTCAGGGATTCTCAGATAATCTTTGTATAAGAAGATTTGGAAAAGGTTAGTTTAGATATGATAATTGACTAGATACATATATGCACCTTTCCAGAAAGCTTATTGTTAACTTATTGCTTTTACATCATTTTTGAACCACGATCCTACCCCGTCCTCACCCCCTCCCCAGTATTGGGTATTTATTAAAATTGGTTAACATCCGGAAAGCCCAGTTGTAGTTCGCCCGGCTGATTCAACACTCACACCGTATTATAAATATCATAAAAGAAAAAAAGAAATCAAATGTTCGGTTCTTATAACTTCTATATTATTTCACTAATAAAGCGTTTCTCAAATCTTGTAGGGTAAACTGAATTTTCCTGTCCCATAACACAAAAGAATGATAACAGATAGGCTTGTGCAGTTGTTCTTATTTGTTTTCAGAAAAAATGAATGATACAATCTGTTTAAATTTTAAACTTAAAAATAGATATTATTACATGGCAATTAGTGCATTTTGATTCATTACATTCTATGAATATCGCTCTGTCTCGACTAATTTTTTATCGTCCTCGTATTGTGTAGAAAAGCTAGCCAGATGTGCGTTTTACAATATAAGTGAGACACTTATCAATGTTAAACCAAAGTGCAATGTAAATATTAAAATACCAGTATGAATAACACGTTAAAATCATACTAAATCATACAGTATTATTTTTTTAAATAACTTATTATTATGTATGTTTATATATTTCCATTCTCTTCTCAAATTTGGCAAAGCTGAATAATTAAATTGAAATTGAATTATTGTATCATAGTTTGAAGACTTTTCTGTTGAAAATGTTTCAGAATTTAAGTGTATACATATACATGCACAGTGCGTTAACTGGAGTGCATGGAGTGCAGGTATTAGTTACCCGCACCCCAGAGCATGCCCATTGATTGCTTCATTTTTTCCCGTGGTTCACTTATTGTTACGACAGAGATAGGGATAACGGTAGAAATATCATATTTATGGTCGTTCATGTTTCGGGGGGGGGGGGGGTCATTTTGTTACAACAGGAAACGTGATTTTATTTTTGCCTATGATACAATAGAGAAAGAACATCAAAGATCTATACACGGAGCTATGCTCCCTCGTATAAATCAGATAGCCTCTTATTTCGATGCTCTTTCTGATACATAATTCATCGTCAAAACTCTTACGGTACAACCCATGATTTTGTTAATACCGGAAATGCATTCCGTTGTGTGGGGATGGGGACTTGAGTAAATTAGTTTTGATGTGTTAGATAGGTGTTTGTCTAGAAAGTATAGGGGTGATTCTTTTATTTTTATGTATGTGGGGGTGGGTGATTCTGTTATTGTAATGTGGATTTTGCTCTACAGACGGTCTCAGGTCACAGGATATATTGTATTTACTTGTATTTTTACTTATTACAGCTGGCCATGAACAAACTATGTCAGACATTCTGAAACATAATAGACTTCCGGTGACTGTACAATATCCACCAAACGACATCATTATATTCGGCAACAAAAGATTCAACTCGTCAAATATTCCACGGCTGGAAATTGTAAAAGCATTTGAAGAAATATATTTACTTGGAAACTACTTAACAGATGGTATAAGTATTAACATCCTTAATGTTTTTATTGGGTATATTTTTTTAACAATTTGACTAAAGCTCAGATGTAGTTATTTCTTGCATGTAGATGTGATGATTACCGAATAAGTTTCGCCTTCATTGTAATTCGGATTTCCCGAGAATGTTATCTTTTAACGTTTTCAGGGTTAAAATAATGAAAGCACACTTTTGTTTAAAAGATCACAAGAAAGTGAATACCTATGGGTGGATGTCAGTTACTTGTTGTCATTAATTTCTTATCCTTTAGGTCATTGCTTCTATATTTAACTTGTCCAGACACTGCTTAAGGCGGTGCTAGTGGGCTTATAACCTTCGTTGCATTAAAAGTTAATGAAACATTATTAGTTTAATATTTGTGTTTCACCTATGTTGTTTATCCCGAGATATTTGTATATACTTTTAAAAAATTCTTATACATTATTTTAGCATTTATTCAGTAGTATTACCGCCAATACTTTGTATATTGTGTTGAGAATGACATAAAATTTCCGTTGAAAATAAAGTATATACTTTGTTTTATGAAACAGGTAAGTTAGGGAAAGAAATCATTCATCTACCCCTATATCTGTCACAGCTAAGATTACGTCTTGTTACTGGAATAAAAGGTCTGACGGAGGAGGGCTGGGTCAGGCATTGTGACGCGTTGATGGAGGAAAGCAAACAAATTGAATACGATCTTCTGTTTGGAAATCAATGTATGTTTATTAATTCTTATCACAAAGTTGATATTTCCCAGTTTCGTTTATTTTGTTTAATAAATAGCTTACTCGGTAGGGTTGCTTTTTGAAAGAAAATGTTGATGATTTCATGAATACGAGTAATGGAAGATGTTATCTTTTTTTTCTATCTATATTTATGCATATCTTAGAGAAATTTACCTTTCATTAAATATGAGTTGCTGAATTCTATACAAATGGCAATACAGCAAAAAAGATCTTTACGGTTCAGATTTCCGTTTCGTTTCAATATAAAGCCTGCACATTCAATTTCCCTATTACTCACGTATCACTTGGCCCTCATTGCTGCCTGAAATAATGCACGACGGGGCAAATGTGGTCTTCCTACACCAGTAAAGCAAGAAAGTCGGCATATGACATAAACTGTGTTTTTTCCGTCGTAAAAGCCAACTAAATTTAAATAAATAAAAAAAAATCAGTATATTTTGTCAACAAGAATGACAAAAGCATTAGAGTCTAGTAAAGACCTTGGGTAAGAGTAAAGATAACTATGATATCATGTCTTGTTTTTTATGTATCTCTAGATGTTGCGGAATACGACCACTCTGACATCAGTCCAAATACAAAATATGCTTACATAGAACCACTACATTATGATGATATGTTCAACTTGATGCTTCGTTGGCCGGAATGCCATTTAGGAGGTCAATCAAGGGACTCATCTTCTTCGTCTTCTTCCTCTTCTTCGACAGGCAAAGACAAACAATACGTGACACACGAAATGGGTGGGACGTGAATCTTATGTAATATAATAGACTGATAAGTCCTTTTAACGAGGATTAAGAAAAATTAATATCCAAGATGAATTTATTGGATTTATTCTAAAAAGCAACACATCATTTCATTTAGTCAACTAGTTAAGCAATTTGAACGAGATGAAATATTTTAGTTATCTTTGCAATGAACATTGGATTAAAAAAAGCTTTAAAAAACCCTAAACAACCCAACAACAACAAAAATAGCTTTTTGCTTTTTCCATCTTAACTATTTGCTTTGTGGGGAAAAGTGACATAAAGATACTATCGTTTGCTTAAGTTTAGAATTTTGTTACATTTTCTGCGGGAAAACAACATCATCATCAACAACCACAACAACAACAACAACAACAACAACAACATTCAAACCGTCAAAATAGCCTGGTATGTGATAATACGTTTAAGCATTTGACGTTTTGTCCGTCAACAAGCTGTCCGCAGGAAAATGATTTAAAAGGAAAAGGGTGAACGTTATGTGGTTATTACGCCGAAAAATAATCTTAAAATAGTCGTACAAATGCAAACTGTAGTTTTTCAGTGTTACATAATTATGATTATATTCATACTAGTACAAAATATATTAGCATTTAGTTTTATAATAATTATATTGCCTTTTCTTAGAATTTCGACTTTATATACGAGTATTTATATTCTTTTTGACCTTTTTGTACCACAATTAGAACATTTGCTAGAGATATTGATAGCGTCCGTTTTGCAATACGATACCATAGATGAACGCAAAACTGTATTTGATGTGAGCTCAAATGCAATCATGCTTTTTTGGCATATCTAGTTTTAGTCTTGTAGTCATGAAATGCAAAAGGGACGGACAATCCCAGAAAAATATTTAAGATTAAAAGCATTTGATATATATTTGTTAGGACAATAAATACTCAAATCACTTTATTTGTTTATTTGACAACAGTTTAAGCATAATCAATGCTTTTTTTAAAATCATCATAAAAAACTGATGGCGTACTCCTTCAATGATAAAAAGGTCATAAAATTACCATGTAGGGGAGATAACTAACTATATTAAAGTGTACATATTAATGTTTGTTTATCTAAAGTCAATAATTAACATCATCATTAATCTTGACTGTAAGACATTGCGTGTTTGACTAACTGGAATAAGTTATCTTTTATTAACTTTATTACAAGTAACACCCGGTATATATTCCGTACATACATATTATCTAGATAATATATTTTGTACATAAAATCTTGTGTTTCACTTAATGGTGATTTTTTGGATGCATGAATTGAGTCCGTCGAGTGAAGGTGAGAATCTGTCGCCTTTCTTGTTCGCACCTATCTTAACGATTTACAGACCAGCAGTATTGAAGCTTCAAGTGGCATACCTGTAAAATTTGTAATAAAGACAGATTTATAACTCATTTAAATCTACATTAGAATTAAAATCATATTTTAAACTATTGTCGCATTGTGACGCATTACATTTGTTCAAATTTCGATCTGCTAATTATAGATTTCCTGTTGAAACCGGCAGGAGGGACGGAACATAATTCAATAGCAGACAGTGTACACTTTGTGACCTAGATGAGTGAGGAACCGAAAAACATTATCTATTATGTTGTCCTTTCTTTAAGTTTTAGCGGTCAATTCTTATCAGCAGTTTTAAACGAATAGTTTGATGAATGTGAAATCAAAACTTTTATCTGTTTTATTTTTTTTTATATGTTTTCCCCTCATAGTGTTCTTATGTACCTAATATAATTAAAGAGTATGTTCTGTTTTGTTCGGAATATATTGTACGGAATATATTGTACGGAATATATACCATTTGCGCATAATACCTGTTGAAGACTTTCGCGTTGAAACATTGTTTTTTATGATTAAAATATTATATTCAGAAGATGTCACTGGGATATACTTCAATATTACTGTTTTAAGATCTGTTCATTCAATAAAAAATACTACGCTTCGAGTAGAACAATGAATTTTTCTCTTGTAGATTTCGGCAAAATGTACAGTTTGTCATGTAATTTCTTATAACAGTGAAATATATTTTTTGATATTTACAGATTATATTATAGTTCTATAATTTTCGATATTATCATAGTTGTTTATATTTCTATTATTTGTTGTTGAAATAAAGTATGTGATATAATTATATACAATTATGTGTTGTCAATTCTTCTTTGAAGTCCTCAAAGACATGGCATTTGTACACCATGATAACAGATAAAATTAACAGTTTTTTTAAACGTTCAAACTCTAATTTCCATTTTAGGTTTGCATCAAGTAAACACCATACACATCTTTTTATAATAATAACTGTGAATAATGGCGGCATATTAAGTTAACAAGTGCTAGGTAATTAGAAACATAATACCTAAATAAACATATATCAAATAAACATTATTCAAGTAAATAATAATAATAATAATAATAATAATAATAATAATACTGATAATAATAATAATTATTATAATAAAGACTTTATTTAACGAGAGAACTCATTTGAACAACATAACAATCTTCCATGAGGCCCTCAACAAGGAACAATATAAATTTAACATATTCAAACTATAAAAATACATATATGTAAATACATACACGAGATTATCAATTTGTATACATCGACGTGTGATTATATCTCAAGTATGAAGTTTTAAAATGGTTCACAGATGTAGCAGACTTGATATGTGAAAAGGTCATCCAGCGTAGTTCAGAAAATAGTTCAGCAGATGGAGGTCATAATCTTTGTCTAGAATTAGTCTTTCAGCTCTCTTTTGGAGCTTAATGAGTTTATCTTCTAGAAAAGACGTACAGTTAACGTAAATTATGCAACAATAGTCAAGATATGGTAAAATATATGCACTGTAAAACATTTTACGTACAGGTATAGATATGAATAATTTTATACGAGATAATAAATGTAATAATGAGTTGTATTGTTTTAGAACATTATCAATATGACTTTGCCAAGATAACGTGTTATTAATTTTAATACCCAATATTTTTTCTTCAGAACAATTTGCTTTGTTTTATACAAAATACAAGAATCACTTTCACAAATATTATTTTGCTTATGTTTTGAGGAAATATACATGACCTTCGTTTTGTTAGCATTGATAGACATGCGATTCAAATCACACCATTTGTTGGCATTTAAAAGATCTTGAGAAAGAGATTCAACTACTCTATTAAGGGATACATCAGAGGTAGAAAGAGTGGTGTCATCAGCAAAAATATATGTTTTTTGTTTTTTTCCATAGACAAGGGCAGGTCATTGATATAGATTAAAAACAGTATGGAACCTAGAACTGAGCCCTGAGGAACTCCAGTAGTTACTGAACATGACTCTGAATATAAACCGGATATGTAAGTTTGTTGTGTTCTGCAATCTAAATAGGAGGAAAACCAGAAAACTGTTGAAGGGTCTAGGTTATACATTCTAAGCTTTTCAATAATAATAGAGTGATCCACATAGTCAAAAGCTTTAGAGAGATCAAGGGAAATTGAACCAACTATTTCGTTTTTGTCAATTGCTGAAATCTAATCATCAATAATTCTAATCAGTGCAGTTTGACATGAATGATTTGACCTGAATCCAGACTGACGTTGGTATAGAAGTTGATTTTTCTCAAGGTACTGCTTTAAATGTGGACTGACATGACGTTCAAGAATAAGTGATATCAAGGGAAGTATGGGAATTGGCCTATAATTTCTTTTATCACTTTTAGAACCCTTTTTATGTAAAGGAATAACTTTTGGCATTTCTAAACGATTTAGGAAATGTATTGTTTAGAATGCTATTATTGAATATAGTGTAACAAGGTTGTCATCATCATTATCAATAAAATTTGTTAGAACCTTAGATTTGTAACGAGATAATTCAGTTAGACCAGTCCATAATTTCTTTGGGTTGAATTTGTTTTGATTGATGGTATCATTATAATATTGTCGCTTAGAACCATATATGAGAGCCTTAACGTGTTGTTTTCATATGTTGTAATTATATGTGTCATTAACTCAATGAAACTGGTGTTTTATTTTAATAGCATCGTGGATGTTTTTATTAATCCAGTTAAGAAGCATTTAATAAAAATGCTCTTGAAAAACAGCCTCCCTACATTCTGGTACTGAGTTCGGTCAAAAACGTTCTGAGGAAGTTTTTTTGTGAATGAAATTGAGGCCACCAATTATTTACAAAGTCTACAAAGTTTGAAAATATCATCACTGTTTTTCTTGGCTACAAGATAATAAGTCGTGGTCACAAGATAATAAGTTGTGGCCACAAGATAATAACTCGTGGCAACGAGATAATATCTTGAGACCTCAAGATAATAAGTCGTTGCTACAAGATAAAATAAAACTGCAAATGTCACCTCTATGCCATCATATTTATATTATTAGACAACCGTGCGCAATTCTGTTGAAATAAAAGTCGAACTAATGAAGTAGACGATCTGTCGGAGTTCTCTTTGTGTCGGAGTTATCTTTGTGTCGGAGTTATCTTTGTATCTGCTGAATTATAAATCCGTCAACATTATAGATATATGGCATGTTATAAGGTTGTTGTGAAATATAACATTCGTCCAATCATACAGCCATATACTTATAACCAGTCAAATATTTTTTATAACTGATGACATTATCTATTATCTATCTTAAGATCAAATATATTCACAAAAATTTCCGCGCTGGGAGTTCTGACAGGTATCCGCCATTTATTGCACAATTCTGCGTTACCCTTTTCACGAATCGTGCGTTATTTTCACATTCCGGTGTAAATGGATATACACGGTGTTGTGTAAAAAGCTATATGCCTATAAACAAAGTTTCGAACCAACCATTACTGAGTTATGAGTGTGAAGATTTTTGCTCAATGAAACAACGACTTGCTCCCGACGGGATTTGAACTTAAGATCATTAGATTTCAAGTGAAGCGTTAAAAACTCGGCCGTGCCGCCACTAACACACTTAATTTGACATTCAAATTCAGCCATGTCCTCATGTTCTACCGTATTTTAATATTTCTTTTTTATGTTCACAACAGTTCTTTTTTGATATATAAACAAACTTGAACTCTTACCGGTATATAATAAATTTCTTTAAACAGAATCATTGTTTTGAAGTATCGTGCGTGTTTCTATTTTGTCTCTGATTTTTATCAACATATACTTCTTAAACTTTAACGAATAGAAATGTGTATTTTATTTTAACATAAGTAGAGGATTTGCCAAAAATATATCATATGAAGAATACAAAGTTTTTATGTTGAAATTTGCTAAAGTCACAATGGTTTATTCATGTGACTTCCCGCTCTACCCAAATGTAAACCCGACAATAACACGGAAATAGTTGACACTGCGTCGTTTTTCGTTATAAATCATATGAAAAAAGTTTCTCACTTCTTTATATTAATATTTACGAGAACGTCTCGCGGTGACAAGTTATAAATTAAATTGAAATACTGCGTTTCAGTATTACTTTAAATTGTGGGACTTTAATTGAAGTACTGTGGACTACACCACAAAGTAAGTAAACATTTTTTCTAGATAGAAAAACGCAATCGGAACACCTCACCTATTATTGTGCGCGTGTGTTTAGCTTTGTTTACCCTTGCACCGGAAAATTACCATATGGGCGAGCATTCGACGAATATTCATTATAATATTGGAATTAACACTACGTGTTTCAGAGTTTATTAGTTTATTTCAGTCTCTTTCATATACATAAAACATATTAAAATTGATAAAAAGTACATATGACCATTCTACAATAGAATTATAGGAGACTATATTATGTACATACTTGAAGTATCATTATCCCTATACAATTGATAGTTTGTTCCTACTGATAACAGTTAAACAACATTATAAGAACATTTAACATAATAAAAGTTAGACTATCCCCACGTGTTTTTAGATGTAAATAAACTCAGATGGTGTTATCTTTGTATGCAAAGGACGAATAAAGTCAATTTCGGTAAAATTATAATTGAAAAATGTCCGACAATCATTAAAGAATGGACATCGTTAACCAATAATAACCAAATATCGAAACATTGTATACAGATGATAAGTCCGCTCTCTAAAACCATAACAGTTTGTTTATAAATAATGTCCTTTTTACTGTATATCTATAAATTTGCCTAATTTCAGTAGACTAAGTGAACATGTACAAGCTATAATAAATATAAAGTAATTCATCAAATACAAGTCTCAATATAACAGTCATGTTTTCATGTTTAGTTTTTAGTACTATTAGTAAGTTATGTTAGACCGAAATATCGTGTACGTTTTGTGTATTCATACTATTGTGTCCGAGGTCCTCATCCTTAGTATGAGGGAAAGGGCCGAGCAGATGCGAATATTAAAAAATCCATGAATTTTGAATGAAGGCAATTTGCATTTATTTGAAAAGAATTTTGTTTACTACACATACTTAATTAAAGGAAATGTGTAGAAAACTCTAAGCTTATAGACACACTTTTTGGAAAACCATGATAAGCATTGAGAGCGAAAGTCTTTTGCTCAAGGAAAAGGTTTTCAGTGATGAAAATTTGTACAAAGATATTTTAGTTATTGAAATGCTAGGGGGTGGGTGGGGTTTTTGGTTAACACTTGCCAGTGCAACCAGCAGATAGCCAGGCCAATCTGTGAAATGTTTAATGTTTATGTTTGCGCAGACTGTTAAATTATTGACTTTTTAAATATTTTAACAGGTATCTTGATACAGATTTAGAAAGCAATTTGCAATGAAATATTGTTTGCCTCTTAAGCTATTTTGGCATTTAATATAATTACAGCGAATAAGTATTATGTATGAAAGTCAAAATACTTTTTGTTTTCATTTTGCTACCTTTACGACATATTACACATCAAGCGCTTCTTCAGTTGTAAAAACATCTAACATGACTGCTGCTAATCCATTATTCTAACATTATTAAATATCTTTTTGCTTTTTCTAACGAAACATAATTATGCATTTCTGAGAAATAATGCGCCTTTAAAATGGCTGAAATTAGGAACAATCCAAATAAGTTTCCAGAAAATACGTACAAATATTATTCAATTATAAAACACGTCAAACATTTAGAGGAAATAATAAAAGTCATAATCCCATAAAACACTTCTCTTTTTTATGGTGGCCATTTCAAACCCGCGTT